CTCCTACAAAGAGAGCGCCGCTCCAGCCTTGGAAGCCTGGAAGCACCTCGTTGAGGTTTATCAGCCGAAAGATTCGGTTACCGCTAGCAGGCTCCTGCAGCAGCTTATGGAGACAAAGATGGGGCACGGGGAGAAAGCGAATTCTTATATTAACCGCTGTCGGAACATCCGTGCCAGATCACGAAGCATGGGAGCGCAATCTCAGAAGAGATCTTCGTCAACATAGTCCTTCAAGGACTCGGGCCAGAGTGGAAGCCCTGCAAAGCGCTACTCCGACAACGAGGAATCATCTCAGAAGCCGCGCTATGCGCCGCACTCCTGACTGAACAGCAGGACATGGACTCGAGCAGAACAAGCTCCGCGCTGCGCCGAGAGCGCCTCGCCTTCTACGCAGACAGCCGTGAAGAGCGACGACAACCAAGGCGCCATTACTGCAAAATATATAGTCTTTGGACACTCAACGGATCGATGCAAATCCCGATCCAACTATCGCCACCCAAATTCCACTCACCACAACAACTGGGTCGGCCGACAAGACGCTCGTCACTCTCAGCCTCAGCATCAGGCACCTCGTCCTCCTGCACAACACCAACATCAGCTAACTCAAGGACCTCAATCAGGAGCTCCTAGAAACATCATCGCAAATATGGCGACACGCCGACGGCGCACTGCTGAACCTGACGAAGAGAACGAGATCCAAGGAAGACTCCTTGAGCCAGAAAGGGTTGGAACAATCCCCTCACTGAAGATCACAATTACCTGTATGACGAAGACGAGCAGGATTGGAATTAGCCAATCACACTGCGGGAAAGCCCGCCACATGACAACCAATGCTACGTACCGGTGGGATGGAAGGAGGACAAAGACCCAGACTTCCACCGGCGCTACAAGGCAACCCTGGTGACTCCGCGACTGGCGCTACTTCTGCGTAGAAACAACACCGACAATTACAACACCTGGTACCTGGATAGCTGCTGCGGACAGCACATGGTGGGATCCACGCGATACGTCTCAAACCTGAGACGCGCTCCCGCAACTTACGTCACCGTCGCCAACAACAAGCAACTGCGCGCTAATGCGCAAGGCATCGTGGTCCTGCAAGCATGAGACAGCAACACACACATCTCGTTCAACGACGTACTCTACGTCCCAAACTTCCGCTTCAACCTCCTCTCGGCAGGACAACTTCGCGACTGCGGTGTCATCCTTACCACGGACCTCGCCACACACCCTGACACACCGCCCGAATCGTTCAAATACCTCGGACAAGCCCGCTCAATCAACGGGATCTATATCCTAGACTTCGACGTACCTTCCTGCCAAGCATCATCCGACGAACTCGTGGACCTCGTCCCTCTCGAGTTCGCCTACATGGACGAGAAAGCATGGGAGCACCCAGACGGACGACCGTGGTTTCGCCGCAGTCCTCATCCCCGCGAGATCAACCTGCACGAGCCAGACATCAATGGCCTCTACACAACATGTCACACACCCACGGCGAGCCGCACGGAGAAAGTTGAAAAGGAGTACACAACAATCCAGGAAGCGGAGAGTGCCGAGGCATAATCCGTAGGCATGGCTGAAGAAGAACTCGCTGTGTCATCTTACCGCATCTTCGGTGAGTCGAACAACAATCTCGGACATCAGCGGGTGGAGAGACCAAGGCCCTATTCGGAAACGCTCCGGTTCGTCCTCGAAGCCAACACCAGCACCTTCGACGAAGAAGGACGACCGCGCCTATACACTCGTGAAGTCTACCGCCGCGAGATTGACCCGGCCAGGAAGGATCCTGACACAGAAGGGGAGCTGAGCGTTAAGGAAGAACATGATAAGGCCCGGGCAGAAAAGAAACAAAAGCCGTATGAGGAGCGTATCGCGGCAGGATGGGACGAAGAATCAGCACGACGAGGAGCATGGGGAGACGAGGATTACGAACCAGAAGGCGGCGCAACCTGGGCATCCGCCACTGGAGCATGGGGAGCCAGCGCAAGCGGCACGGTCACCACGGGAGGATGGGGAACAGCAGAGCTCGAAGAAGGGGAGCTAACACAAGAAGAACTAGGACGAGCGCTGCAACGAGGCACGAGGCTACGTCAACATCGGTCGCAGCTTTGCGACTACAGAAGACGAAGCAGCAGCAGCAGCACTAGACCGCGACGACACCGACGAACATCCCAGCATCCCGCCTCGCCCGCGCGACGACGACGACGATGACAGTGATGATGACCCCGCACCATGACCATCACGACGCTAGGCAGAGCCAAGCACCGCAGCACCCGGCTATGAAAGCGGAGACAAGGACGTGGTGGAAGTCACCACCAACACCGACACCACCAACGTGTCAGGTCTACAAATCCTCGGCCTGCACACGTCCGTCACTACCCTCGCACGGGCCGTGGAGCCCAATACCCTCGCCAGGCTCTAGCCGGCCCTCATGCTAAGGAGTGGCGTGCTGTGATGGATGCAGAACTAAAGGCGTTGGAGTCTCGAGACACATGGGTCCTCGTCAATCGTGCAGCAGTGAAGGGGAGGAGGGTACTCAGCGGAAAATGGGTTTTTTGCTTGAAGACTAACGGCACCATCGAGCGATTCAAGGCACGCTGGGTCGTACGCGGGTACGATCAGTGACACGGCATTGACTTCGACCAGACCTTCGCTCCCGTGAGTCGCCACACCTCCGTCCGGATTCTACTCGCCATTGCCGCCGCTAAGCACCTGCCACTGCGACAGATCAACATGAAAAACGCGTTTAGTGGATGCTACCATCTTCGTGGAACAACCTCACACCTACGGAGAGGGGGATCCTAGGGTCTGTCAGCTGAAGAAATCCCTTTACGGGATCAAGCAGGCGCCTCGCCTTTGGCAGCAGCATCTGCACAAGATTCTCCTCGAGATCGGCTTCAAGCAGTTGCCGCACGACCCGGGAATGTATCGCCTTCAATGGCGACTACATCCTCTTTACAGTTTACGTCGACGATCTGCTGTACACGGGCACTTGCAGCAAGCTCCTTAATCAGTTTGAAGAGAACCTGGCGCAGCGTGTTGACATCACCATCAACCACAGTGTGAAACAGTTTCTGGGCCTGAACATCACCTACGCGCCAGAGGCAATTCACCTGTCAGCCTCCAAGTACGCAGAGCAGCTAAGGGAACGCTTCAACATTTCGCCCGCACCACTCTCAACTCCTTACTACAACCCCAGTGCCAACTACAAAACGGACAAAAAACCCCTGACGCCTGCAGGGCTCCAAATGTACCAGCAGAAATTGGGGTGCCTACTATTCGCCTCTGTCACCTGCCGACCCGACCTTCCGTACATCACCAACCAACTGGCACAGTACTCCCGCAAGCCAGTAGCTGAGAACCAGCTGGACCTCGAGCGCGCCCTGCAGTACTTCGTTTCCACACCTGACATCGGGCTCTCCTACTCCACGCTGACAACGACCTCCTTCAACCTCAACGGCTACGTGGACGCAGATCATGCAGCTGACCCTGAAAATTGACGGTCCCGAACCGACTTCATTTTTCTCCTAGAACCCACTGGGCCAATCTCTTGGAACTCGCAGAAGCAGGAGTTGGTTGCCATGTCATCAGCTGAAGCAGAATACATCGCCGCGACAGCAGCAGTTCGCGAAGGGCTGTACCTGCAAGAGCTGCTGCAGGAGGCGAAATTTCCAACCTCGCCCACCTTTCGCCTTCACTGCAACGACTAGAGTGCCATCAAGATCGCGAACAAGCCAGGTTTCGTGAACCGCACGAAGCACATCGCGCTTCGGTACTTTTTCGTCAAGGACGAAATTGACCAGGGAAAAGTTGACCTCGCCTACTGCCCGACTACTGAGATGGCAGCAGACTTCCTCACCAAGCGTCTGCCACGTCAGCAGTACAAGCACTGCTCTGACATCACCGGAGTAGTCAAGCGAGTCAGCCCCTCCTGCGCCCAGGAATGAAGGGGAGTGTTACGACATGAAGTTTTATGAGAAGGCATTCCTGTATGCTGTAGGAGCCGACTCTACCGAGTACGAAGTCGAGGAGTCAGAAGAGTCGAAGCGACACAGCAACCGTCTGACCAAGACCGATGCAGGCAGAAACAGTTGAAGTGAAAAGAGCGGGAACATGTTCAAAACGGGTTCCCGTGCCGCACGGTTTGAATTCGCTGCAATAAGGGAATGTACCCCTTAGAGTACATGGCTAGTCTAGGTCTTTTCGTATTCCCCTGTACTCTTATATAAACCCGATGTATGCATGCTTTTATCAACTCAGTCATTTACATTCACTCTGACCTGAGGTTCAAACTTCCGCTGCAACACTACGCTGCGATCAACCCTGAGCGATCCTTCGCTAAGTCCTCCTTGGGATTGTAACAAATCTAAACACTTAAAAAGCAGTATAGGTACACAAAACTACCGTAGGCTGAAAATAAGGAATTTTGGGGAAAAATTCCTGATAACGCTTTAAGCCTTCTAGATTGGCATATGGAAAAAATCAATAGAAAAAATAGATCATTTTCCGTAATAGTGCTGCTACAAGTATCATATCCAACTCTATTGGCTCCCATATATACTGGCACAAGCTGAAAGTAAATTTCGTGAAGTGGGGGTTGCTAATCTCTCACTGGTGTGTAACGCCATATTAAGTCTCATTTCTTTTCCCCTAGATGCTCTGGAGCAATCTCTCTCGGATAAGGCGTACAAATTCCTTTCCATCCACCACAGGCATTGCCCCTGAAACAAGTTGCACTGAAACTCGAGTCGCCCAGTCATGACTGGAAGTCTCATTAGTCTCTAACTGGTTCCACCTTCTACGAAGTGGTATCGAATGCACTAGAGTGTCATCGAGCTGCCTAAATTATCAATCCTGCCCATTCCGTGCGACAATTCTCTGTGCGATTCCTGCGACACACTTCAGCGACACCACCCGATTCCGCTAGCTTCCCCGCAACATCCCAGTCACTTCCCGTCACGCCAATCCGCTAACCCATTCTGTCGCATCGACGAATCATGGCCGTTAGATTCTCACTCGCGTCGCAAGGGCTCGTGTCAACGCGCGCACCGCCAGTCATCGTCGCTGCTGACCCGTTCCCCCCTCGCTGCTCCGCACGGCGCGAGCCATTCCGTCCGCGCCCCGCGCGTTCCGCCCATCCCACGCATGCGGCCGTGCGGAAATTCCACGGAATGCGCGGGGAATTGCGGAACCTGCGCGCAGACAAAGCGCTGTATCTCTCCCGCCGCCGAGACCGCCGCTTGATTCCAGGCGGTCCCGGCGACGGTGGTAACTGTGTTACTGTCGCACGGCGAACAGGCAAATGGCGGCGGCAGACAGCCTTAGTGAATTCCGAGGCTTCTTATAAAGCGGATGGATCTGAAGCGGCGATCGCGGAAGAGGCGGATTGCGTGGTGGTGGGCGCGGGGATTTCGGGGCTGTCAGCGGCGTTCGCGCTGGCGACGCGGCACGCGGACGCCGTGCCGCGCGTGCTTGTAACGGAGGCGCGGGAGCGCGTGGGCGGGAATGTGACTACAACGGTGGGGGAGGCAGGCACAGAGAGCGAGGGGTATGTGTGGGAGGAGGGGCCTCACAGCTTCCAACCCAGCGACGCCATGCTGCAGTGCGCTGTGAGTTACCGGGTTACCATGCTGCACTGTGGTGTGAGTTACCGGGTTACCATGCTGCGCTGTGGTGTGAGTTACCGGGTTACCATGCTGCACTCAAATGTGAGTTACCGGGTTACGATGCTGCGCTGTGGTGTGAGTTACTGGGTTACCATGCTGCGCTGTGGTGTGAGTTACCAGGTTACCATGCTGCGCTGTGGTGTGGGTTACCAGGTTACCATGCTGCGCTGTGGCGTGAGTTACCGGGTTACCATGCTGCGCTGGTATGAGTTACTGGGTTACCATGCTGCGCTGTGGTGTGAGTTACCAGGCTACCATGCTGCGCTGTGGTGTGAGTTACCGGTTTACCATGCTGCGCTGTGGTGTAAGTAACCGGGTTACCATGCTGCGCTGTGGTATGGGTTACCAGGTTACCATGCTGCACTGTGGTGTGAGTTACCGGGTTACCATGCTGCGCTGGTATGAGTTACCGGGTTACCATGCTGCGCTGTGGTGTGAGTTACCGGGTTACCATGCTGCGCTGTGGTGTGAGTTACCGGGTTACCATGCTGCACTCAAATGTGAGTTACCGGGTTACGATGCTGCGCTGTGGTGTGAGTTACCGGGTTACCATGCTGCGCTGTGGTGTGAGTTACCAGGTTACCATGCTGCGCTGTGGTGTGGGTTACCAGGTTACCATGCTGCGCTGTGGCGTGAGTTACCGGGTTACCATGCTGCGCTGGTATGAGTTACTGGGTTACCATGCTGCGCTGTGGTGTGAGTTACCAGGCTACCATGCTGCGCTGTGGTGTGAGTTACCGGTTTACCATGCTGCGCTGTGGTGTGAGTTACCGGGTTACCATGCTGCGCTGTGGTATGGGTTACCAGGTTACCATGCTGCGCTGTGGTGTGAGTTACCGGGTTACCATGCTGCGCTGGTATGAGTTACCGGGTTACCATGCTGCGCTGTGGTGTGAGTTACCAGGTTACCATGCTGCGCTGTGGTGTGAGTTACCGGGTTACCATGCTGCGCTGTGGTGTGAGTTATCGGGTTACCATGCTGCGCTGTGGTGTGAGTTACCAGGTTACCATGCTGCACTGTGGTGTGCTATTATGCAGCAGTGGGCTGTGGGCTATGTCGAACATCAAACCGTACCATCAGTCATTTGAATTTCGTTTGTCCTTGTGTGCCGCTGCTCGCAAGCTCGCCATTTAAATCCTCTCTGTTCTCTTACCCTTTTTCTGTCGTTTCTTCTCTCCCTCATCGCCTCTCCCTCGTTCCCGCTCCATTCCTCTCACACGTCCACCCTCTGCTGCGCACACTTAGTAAGCTGGTTCCAGCCTCCCCCTATAGCCTCCTGCACCTCTGCATTCGCTCCTCCCCTTTGCCACCCCCAACCACCCCACAGCTCTAGTCGGCATTCTAGCCAGCCTGGTCCTGTTGCCACCCCCTTGCACCTGCCCCCGTTGCCTATCGCCCTCGTCTCCCCCACACAGCTCAACCGCGCCATTCCCATGTTCCTCCTAGCTTCCACCGACCTTGTGCTAGGAGCCCCCAATGCTCCATGCGCCTTCCCATCTTCCCTTCCCCCTGCCCTCATTGCCATTCCGCGTTCCCCCACAGCTCGACTGTGGCATTCTCTCCAACCTCGTGCTGGGAGCCCCCAACGCGCCTCGCTATGTGTCCAGCCATCCAGTCCTTGGCTTCCCTTCCCGTTCCCCCTGCCTCCACTGCCTTCCCCCTGCCTCCACTGCCTTCCCCCTCAACCCAACCCCTTCCCCTCACAAACCTCAGCTCGACTGCGACATTCTCTCCGACCTCGTGCCGGCGGCACCTGACGCGCCTCGCTACGTGTCCAACCGGCCATTCCTTGGCGCCTCGCTACGTGTCCACCTGACGCACCTGCTTCCACTGCCTTCTCACAACCCTCACCCCGCACCCACTCTCCACCGCCACAGTTGGACTGTGGCATTCTGTCTGATCTCGTGCTGGGAGCGCCTGATGCTCCGCGCTACGTCTTTTGGGACGGCAAGCTGCGTCCCATTCCCTCGGGTCCCGCCGATCTGATCTCCTCGGATCTGCTGACGCTGGCCGGCAAGCTGCGGGCGGCACTGGGGTTCGTGGGGATCAGACCACCGCTGGTGAGACGAAAACTGGACCAGCCCAGATGAGGAACTGCTCTTATGTCAGAGTTTGTAAAGATTCTTTTCTTGCCGAGTTTAAGTGAGTCCATGTGTGCCATGCACTGCTCCCATGTGTGCCATGCACTGCACCCATGTGTGCCATGCACTGCACCCATGTGTGCCATGCACTGCACCCATGTGTGCCATGCACTGCACCCATGTGTGCCATGCACTGCACCCATGTGTGCCATGCACTGCACCCATGTGTGCCATGCACTGCACCCATGTGTGCCATGCACTGCACCCATGTGTGCCATGCACCCATGTGTGCCATGCACCCCCCCTCCTCTCCACGCCCCAGCCAGATGGCAGCAAGGAGGAGAGTGTGTCAGAGTTTGTGACGCGCAACCTCGGCTCGCAGCTGCTGCACCGCCTGGTTGACCCCTTCTGCTCTTGTAAGGAGGACGAGAAACTGTTTCGAAATTCGTGTGCCCTTCTGCATGCACACCTCGTGCATCCGCTCCCCCCTTCTGCTCGAGGCACTTTAAAAGTTCTTTCAATCTTTCTGCTCTCGTGAGCCCGTCTCCTTCTCGAAGCGTTATGTGTATATATATGTATATACATATAATATATATATATATATATATATATATATATTTCGTGAGCGATCTTCGAGAAATCTCAGAAAATCGTACACTGTACTCAATGCAGCCCAGTGCATCTGCGTTTGAGTTCGTTCTCACATAATGAGACACAGATTCTTACGCACCTGCTTTGTTTCTCTGACTGTCTGCAAAGCTTTCCTTTCAAGAGCAGTTGTTCTTTCTACGTGTCATGGCACACACAGCCGTTCAATCAAGCAACCAAGCAATTGGTATTTTCACTTGCAAAAAGGATCAGCCATTTCTTCCCTTCTCTCCGTATCCTCCCCCCATTGCCCCTTCCCCCCTGCAGGCATATTCGCAGGGGATGCGGAGCAGATGAGCATGCAGGCAGCATTCAACCGCATATGGCGCATGGAGGCAGAGGGGGGCTCGCTGCTGGGCGGCATGATTCAGCTGGGGAAGGAGAGGAAGGAGAAGCGGAAGGAGAACCCGGCAGAGCCTCGAGACCCGTGAGTATGCTGTGCCGAGGCGTGGCGCATGGTGGCAAAGGGGGAAACTGCTGGGTGGGTTTTTTCAGCTGGGGAAAGAGAGGATGGAGATGGAAAACTCGGCAGAGCCTCGAGACCTGTGAGTGCAATGAGCAAGCATGGTGCATGGAGGCAGAAGGGGGGCCGCAGCTGGGCGGCCTGATTTAGCTCGGAAATGAGAGGAGGCAGAAACAGAACGCTTCAGAGGCTCGAGACCTGTGAATGCAGGCAAGGGGCATGGCGCATGCAGCCAAGGGGCATGGCGCATGCAGCCAAGGGGCATGGCGCATGCAGCCAAGGGGCATGGCGCATGCAGGCAAGGGGCATGGCGCATGCAGGCAAGGGGCATGGCGCATGCAGGCAAGGGGCATGGCGCATGCAGGCAAGGGGCATGGCGCATGCAGGCAAGGGGCATGGCGCATGCAGCCAAGGGGCATGGCGCATGCAGCCAAGGGGCATGGCGCATGCAGCCAAGGGGCATGGCGCATGCAGGCAAGGGGCATGGCGCATGCAGGCAAGGGGCATGGCGCATGCAGGCAAGGGGCATGGCGCATGCAGGCAAGGGGCATGGCGCATGCAGCCAAGGGGCATGGCGCATGCAGCCAAGGGGCATGGCGCATGCAGCCAAGGGGCATGGCGCATGCAGCCAAGGGGCATGGCGCATGCAGCCAAGGGGCATGGCGCATGCAGCCAAGGGGCATGGCGCATGCAGGCAAGGGGCATGGCGCATGCAGGCAAGGGGCATGGCGCATGCAGGCAAGGGGCATGGCGCATGCAGCCAAGGGGCATGGCGCATGCAGCCAAGGGGCATGGCGCATGCAGGCAGAAGGAGGGTCGCTGCTGGGGGGGATTATGCAGCTGGGCAGGGAGAAAAAGCAGCAAGAGGAGGAGAGCCTGAAAGAGCCTTGAGACCCGTGAGTGTGTAGTGACAGGGCATGGCGCATGGGAGGCCCAGAGGGGGTTGCTGCAGAGGGGGGTGATTCAGCTGGGCAGGGAGAGGAAGGAGAAGCAGGAGCATGAGAACCCGGCTGTGTCTCGAGACCTGTGAGTGTGTAGTGACGGGGCATGGCGCATGGAGACAGAGGGGGGCTTGCTGCTTGGGGCGATGATTCAGCCAGGCAGGGGGGGGGGGAAGGGGAAATAAACCTGGCAGCGCCTCGAGACTTGTACGTGCAATCATCCGACATGTGTTTGTTTTCGCGTGTATCCTCACTCGTCCCATTTTCCCACAGCTCTACCTCGCCCCACACCTCACAGCTCTACCTCGCCCCACACCTCACAGCTCTACCTCGCCCCACACCTCACAGCTCTACCTCGCCCCACACCTCATAGGCCCACCCCCACCTGTGGATGTACCACACTTCTCTTTCCTCCATTTCTCCTACTCTTCCTTCCACATCCCCTCCTCCATCCCTCCTCCATCCCTCTTCCCTCCCTCGCGCTCTCTGTCACTTTACATTTTCCTGTCCCTCCCCGCTCCTACCCCCCCTCCCCATCCCCCTCTCCACCCCCTCCCCATCCCCCTCTCTCTCCATCCCCCTCTCCATCCCCCTCCCCATCCCCCTCTCTCACCATCCCCCTCTCCATCCCTCTCTCCATCCCCCTCTCCATCCCTCTCTCCATCCCCCTCTCCATCCCTCTCTCCATCCCACGTCCCCTCCCCCTTCCTCCCTCATGCCCCCTGCAGCCGTCTCCCCAGGCCTCAGGGCCAGTCAGTGGGGTCATTCCGCGCAGGGTTGGCCACTCTCACAAGCGCCATGGCTGACCGGTAGGTTCAGGAGGTGGGATTGGCAGGGCTGGTTGATAGGTTTGGTAGCAGATATGGCAGCGGTGGTGGTAGGCTTGGGTAGCGTGTGTGAATAGGTTGGAGGTACGGAATGGCAGGTATGGAATTGCAGGTATGGAATGGCAGGTATGGAATGGCAGGTATGGAATGGCAGGTATGGAATGGCAGGTATGGAATGGATGGTATGGAATGGATGGTATGGAATGGCTGGTATGGCATTGCAAGCTGACTGCAATAGATGTCGGCTAATAGCAGCAGCTCAGTCGGCTAACAGCAGCAGCTCAGTCGGCTAACAGCAGCAGCTCAGTCGGCTAACAGCAGCAGCTCAGTCGGCTAACAGCAGCAGCTCAGTCGGCTAACAGCAGCAGCTCTGGAAAAAAAGCAACTGGTAGAACCAGACCAGGTTCGTCCACAATAGCCTTCACCATTTGCGCCATCCTCCACTCTTTAATTCACTCTGTTTTCCCATCTTCCCCTTTCCACCTCTCCCCTCCCCTCCCCATCTCACCCCTCCACATCTCCCCTCCCATCCATGAACCCCTCTCTCCCACAGGCTGGGGAGCAGAGTGCGGGTGGGGTGGCGGCTGGTGGGCATGCAGCAGCGGGCAGGAGGGGGCGCTGTGCTGACGTACAACACGCCACGTGGCACCACACGAGTGGCCGCGCGCTCCGTGCTGCTCACTGTGCCTGCTTACGTTGCTGCTGACGTCATCAGGGCTTTCTCTGTGAGGACCGCTGCTCTTCCTTCTCCCCCCCAGCAGTAAACATGTCTCCTCTGCTCCCCCCCAGCAGTAAACATGTCTCCTCTGCTCCCCCCCAGCAGTAAACATGTCTCCTCTGCTCCCCCCCAGCAGTAAACATGTCTCCTCTGCTCCCCCCCAGCAGTAAACATGTCTCCTCTGCTCCCCCCCAGCAGTAAACTTGTCTCGTCTGCTCCCCCCCAGCAGTAAACATGTCTCGTCTGCTCCCCCCCAGCAGTAAACATGTCTCCTCTGCTCCCCCCCAGCAGTAAACATGTCTCGTCTGCTCCCCCCCAGCAGTAAACAAGTCTCCTCTGCTCCCCCCCAGCAGTAAACAAGTCTCGTGTGCTCCCCCCCAGCAGTAAACAAGTCTCGTCTGCTCCCCCCCAGCAGTAAACTTGTCTCGTCTGCTCCCCCCCAGCAGTAAACTTGTCTCGTCTGCTCCCCCCCAGCAGTAAACTTGTCTCGTCTGCTCCCCCCCAGCAGTAAACAAGTCTCGTCTGCTCCCCCCCAGCAGTAAACAAGTCTCGTCTGCTCCCCCCCAGCAGTAAACAAGTCTCGTCTGCTCCCCCCCAGCAGTAAACTTGTCTCGTCTGCTCCCCCCCAGCAGTAAACTTGTTTCGTCTGCTCCCCCCCAGCAGCAAACTTGTCTCGTCTGCTCCCCCCCAGCAGTAAACAAGTCTCGTCTGCTGCCCCCCAGCAGTAAACAAGTCTCGTCTGCTCCCCCCCAGCAGTAAACAAGTCTCGTCTGCTCCCCCCCAGCAGTAAACAAGTCTCGTCTGCTCCCCCCCAGCAGTAAACAAGTCTCGTCTGCTCCCCCCCAGCAGTAAACTTGTCTCGTCTGCTCCCCCCCAGCAGTAAACTTGTCTCGTCTGCTCCCCCCCAGCAGTAAACTTGTCTCGTCTGCTCCCCCCCAGCAGTAAACTTGTCTCGTCTGCTACCCCCCAGCAGTAAACAAGTCTCGTCTGCTCCCCCCCAGCAGTAAACAAGTCTCGTCTGCTCCCCCCCAGCAGTAAACAAGTCTCGTCTGCTCCCCCCCAGCAGTAAACTTGTCTTGTCTGCTCCCCCCCAGCAGTAAACTTGTCTCGTCTGCTCCCCCCCAGCAGTAAACTTGTCTCGTCTGCTCCCCCCCAGCAGTAAACAAGTCTCGTCTGCTCCCCCTCAGCAGTAAACAAGTCTCGTCTGCTCCCCCCCAGCAGTAAACAAGTCTCGTCTGCTCCCCCCCAGCAGTAAACTTGTCTCGTCTGCTCCCCCCCAGCAGTAAACTTGTCTCGTCTGCTCCCCCCCAGCAGTAAACTTGTCTCGTCTGCTCCCCCCCAGCAGTAAACAAGTCTTGTCTGCTCCCCCCCAGCAGTAAACAAGTCTCGTCTGCTCCCCCCAGCAGTAAACAAGTCTCGTCTGCTCCCCCCCAGCAGTAAACAAGTCTCGTCTGCTCCCCCCCAGCAGTAAACTTGTCTCGTCTGCTCCCCCCCAGCAGTAAACTTGTCTCGTCTGCTCCCCCCCAGCAGTAAACTTGTCTCGTCTGCTCCCCCCCAGCAGTAAACAAGTCTCGTCTGCTCCCCCCCAGCAGTAAACAAGTCTCGTCTGCTCCCCCCCAGCAGTAAACAAGTCTCGTCTGCTCCCCCCCAGCAGTAAACTTGTCTCGTCTGCTCCCCCCCAGCAGTAAACTTGTCTCGTCTGCTCCCCCCCAGCAGTAAACTTGTCTCGTCTGCTCCCCCCCAGCAGTAAACTTGTCTCGTGTGGGTGTGGGGAGGCGTATGTCGAAAGAACGACGACATTCAGGCTTGTACTGATGAAGGCTTGCAAAAGCCGAAACTAGTTTGCAATGTCCCTGATTCCTTAGTGAAGATTTGTTTTAAACTGGCTCTCTCAACAACGCTTTCAAGCTAAGCACACCAGGCTCCTTCCGCCATTTTCATGGAGTTTGTTTCGTTATCCTAAACAACACGAGTTGATGGAAGTAAGGCCTCCGCAGCCCACCTGTCCTCTCTTGACATGGAGTGCTCCCCTCCTCCCTCCCTCTATTTCTCTCTGAATCATCCGTCTTCGTTCACCCTCACTGCTCCAACCCCATTCACTACTCCATCGGCTTCACTCGCGCCCTCCTCGCGTCTACTTTCGCACTCTGCCCCATTTCCAGGCGTCAAAAGTCCTCCACTGTGCCATCAGTAGTAGCACACTCTCTTGAGAGAGGCATGACGCCGAGAGCCTTTCCTCTCATGCGCCCCACCTTGCCTCCCTCCTCTCGGGAAACTTCTTCCCTCCATTCCACCCTCACCCCGCCCTCTCCCCCTCCCCCAATCCCCCATACAGACCCACCCTCTCCCCTCCCCCAACCCTTTTCCTCACGTCTGTCCCTCGGTCCCCCCCCCCCCCCCCTCCGAGCCCACAACAGCAGCAGCGCTGGCAACCATACCCCCATGGCATCTGTGTCTCTTTCCTTCCCCGCTGCTTCTGTCAGGGAGAGGGCAGGGTGGGCAGGGGGGCGTGTGAGTCGACTCATTATTCACCTCTCTCCTTCTTCCCTCTTCCCCTCTTGCACCCTTCCCCCCGCCTCCAGCCCACAGCAGCAGCAGCGCTGTCAGCCATACCCTACCTGCCCACGGCATCTGCGGCTCTCTCCTACCCAGCTGCTGCCATCAGTCAAGCACGGGGCGGAAAACGGGCCTTTTGAATCAATTCATGATTCACACCTCTCCCTCTCTCCTTTTCCTTCTCTTCCACTCTCCCCCCTCCAGCCCACAGCAGGAGCAGCCCGGGCAGCCATACCTCCATGGCATCCGTGGCTCTTTCCTACCCAGCTGCTGCTGTCAGGGAGGGGGCAGGGCGGCTAGGGGAACTTATGAGTCGAATTTAAAACTCCCCCTGTCCTCTTTCCCTCGCTCCCCCATTCCCTCGTCCCTCTCCCAGCCCACAGCAGCAGCAGCGCTGGCAGCCATACCCTACCCGCCCATGGCATCCGTGGCCCTCTCTTACCCTGCTGCTGCCGTCAGGGAGGGCGCGGGGCAAGCAGGGGGGCTGCGCGGGTATGGGCAGCTGCACCCGCGCTCTCAAGAACTGGCCACACTGGGTGAGATGGAGAGATTGCTGGGACTGGGAGAGAGTGCGAGCGGGGGGGAGAGTGGGAATGTGGCTCGTGATGCTGCCAGGGCAGGGGGGCTGTGAGGTTATGGGCAGCTGCACCCGCGCTCGCAGGGACTAGCAACGCTAGGTGAGATGGGGTGAGATGGGGGGAGGTAGGGGTAGGGGTGGGGACGTTGCGGGGCTGGTTGAGAGTCGGATGGGGAAGGGGTGGGAGAGAGTGGGAACCAGAGGGTGGGTGTGGGCTGGGAGGGCAGGGGGGCTGACTGCATATGGGCAGCTGCATCTGCTCTCCCAGGGAGTGACGACGCTAGGTGAGATGCGGGGAGGTGGGAGGAGAATACAAAGCTGGGGAGTGCTTTTCAACGAACACAGCTTCACGCTGCCAAGCGTCAAAGCGAGGCTGCGAGCGCACGACCCGAAATCAGGAGAATTTTTTGGTCGTTGGGCTTGAGATTGGATCGTATTTTGAATCGTGTGCGGCGCGACGGTGAAGTGCGGACGATGTCTGTATGTGGCAGTGCGGTGTGCTGTGTGGGCTGTGTAGAAAGGGAAAAAAAAAAAAAAAAAAGGAAAAACAAAACCAGTTGTGCCAGCCGGGAATCGAACCCGGGTCTGCACCGAGCGCCATGGCAGGGTGCTATTCTACCACTAGACCACTGGCACGTGTCACACATGCTCACCCCAGAACTCAGATTTACTTTGTTGTGAGCAGCTGCACCTCTAAGCACCGTGCTAGCATCGCACTCACCTGTGCCCCTCCATCACTGCTCTTCCTCTCCCCTCTTCCCCACCCAGGCTGCATCTACAGTTCTGCCCTCTTCCCCAACAGAGCACCTGACGGTCGGGTGCTGCTCATCTGCTATGTGGGCGGTGCGGGGAACGATGCTGTTGCTGAAATGGTGAGTGGCGTTTTTGAGGATGTGAGTGGCCTGAGTGTGCCAAGTGGCTGGTGTGGCTTGTGTGGCATGGGGTACTGTTTCAAGAAGAATACATTTCGTCGCGCCATGTACATCGCTGCGCGGTGGTCAATTGTCCGACTTCTTCCCTACCCGTCACCTCCACGTGCACAGAACCCACCCAAGCTAGGTGCCACACCAGCTGTCTTCCCAGACTTATCCACACACCAGGCGTCTTCTCATCCTCCCCACCCTCCCCCCACCCTCTCTGCCTGCTTTCCCGATCTGCACTCTCCGTGCCCCTGCCTCGCCCACACTCCATCCCTCCATCTCTCTCTTCCCTCTTTCCCCCTTCTCCTGCCCTCTCCATGCCCCTGCCTCTCTCCATTCCAGTCCCACACAGACCTCATAGCAGCAGTGGACTGTGACATGCGCACCACGCTCCTCCATCCCTCCGCGCCTCCTCCTCTGGCGCTCGGGGTGCGTGTGTGGCCGCGAGCCGTTCCCCAGCTTAATACTGGCCACCTTGGAAGAATAGAGGCGGCAAAGACAGGGATCGAAGAGGCAGAGATGGAAGGGGTGTTTCTTGGAGGGAATTATTTGACGGGTGTTGCGCTGAGTTGGTGTGTTGAGGGAGGGTATGAGAACGCTATTGAGATTGGTCGGTATTTGAGCAGCGTTGCGAAGATTGAGTGAAAAATCGTGGGATCATATGTCTGGGTTGGTTATTCCAAGAAGCTCTATCATCCGTTGGCAATGTATTCTACCAGAATGACAATTTTCACTAATTTGACTGATCTACGCCTCTAAGCATTAGGAATACGCATCAGAACACGATATACAAGCATATAGCAGTTCTGCAGAGTCTGCCACTAACTGGGTCGAGATACATCCTCTTTCCACGCAACGCCCTATCAGCTCGCGATGTTGAAAACTCCACGTGGCGCTCTCTCGTTTCACGCTTCCCCACGCCCCGTCAGCCTCACGATTTCGTCTCGCCATCCTTTTCGACCCAAACGCAATCCTGGTTGCTCAAACCGTACCCAAACGTTAAAACATTCAGAGTAAACGCCTTATTACGTGGACTATCGCACTTCACCGCGGTAAACTCAAATAACAACCCCCAACGCCATTCTTCGGGATTCTCCACAACACGAGCAGGCTGGGAATCTCGAGAATTTCCCCACAACCTACTAGTTCCAGTTCTCCCAGTAGCAGCCATTTCCCCCATAGCCGTGCATTTCCCATTCCCAGCTGCACTGGTCCGACGAGCTTCACTCGCTCGCGTCTCGTCTCGTCGTTACCTTCGTAGCAGCTTGTGCGTAAATCCCTCGCGCTTCACGATTACCATTACGCTTAGCGCGATTCTCGATTCGTTTTCGCATCCGAGACGCGGTAGCTATGGCGACCGTATCGCAGGCGGCGGCGAGAGCGCCGTACTCCGTCGCGATGTCGCTCGGCGGAAGAGCCGCGCAGCGATTGGCGCAGAGAAGCCGTTCTTTTCCCAAGGCATTCTTTTCGGGTCTCAGTTTGAGCCAAGTGAGCCTTTCGGGTGAAGCCAAATCGTCACACGTCGCGCAGAGGCACGTCGCCAGCCGTCGTGGCGCTCGCTGCGATGCTGCGACGGCGGGGAGCGACGGGAAGCCGCGCGTGCGATTCGCGCCGTCGCCGACGGGGAACCTGCATGTGGGCGGGGCTCGCACGGCGCTCTTCAACTGGCTCTTTGCGAGGTGCGCGTGCGACTGTATGCGACAAGAGGAGGAGAAAAAAATGGGAAAAAAAGGCAACAAAGTAACCTAAGCACACGTAAATTACGCTATTGGCCATCATGCGAGTTTAGCGACGTGGTCATCGTTAGCTTGTTATGAGCTGTTTCGGCCAGCCAATGTAGTCGAAGTTGAAGGTGAATCCGATGGCTATAACGCAGGGCGCCTATAATGCACACCCAGTTCATGCAGGTAGTGTCGATAGCTGGGGAGCTCGGAATGGATTTTTTCTAGCTTTGACGAGTTTCGTACCAATCAGTGAGTAGCTTTTGCGTACCCGAAAATGCTAGCGGAAGATGGGGTGCGCGTGATCGCGAGCGTCTGTCTCCGCCTCCCTGAGCGAGGAGCTGGGGTTGCGAGTTTTGACGGACGGTCGTCACAGGAGACTGCAAGTGAGAGTTGACGGCCTGCCGTCGCAGCAGACTGCGGTTGCGAGGGTTGACGGCCAGCCTCCACAGCAGACTGCTCCCGCGGCTGATAGAGGCTGTAGCTTCTTCGTTTGCCCCCATACGGCATTCCCCTTCCGTGCAACCCATTCTCCTTTCTTCTGGCCCAAATCCCAATTTCGTCCCCCGAAATCCCCGATTCCTCGCCTCTCAGGGCGACGGGCGGCAAGTTCGTGCTGCGCGTGGAGGACACCGATCTGAACCGCTCCACACCGGAGTCCGAGGCCGCCATGGTGCGCGACCTGCGGTGGCTGGGGCTCGACTGGGACGAGGGTGAGTGGAAGGGAGGGGGTGGGGGAGGGGTAATGAGATGAGGGTGAGCGGAACGGTGGGGGGGAGGAAAAAGAGGGCTAGTAAAACGGGGGAAGCGGGCGAAGGGTGGGGTGATGGGAGGAGGGCGAGAAGAACGGATGGAAGGAAACGAGACAGGGGTGAGCAGAACCAGGGGGAGGGGAGGGGGAGGGGACGAGGGTGAGCAGAAGAGGGGGAGGGGAGGGGGAGGGGACGATGGTGAGCAGAAGAGGGGGAGGGGAGGGGGAGGGGGATGAGGATAAGGGGGGAGATGAGGGGGAAGGGATGAGGGGGAGGGGTTCAGAGCAAGGAAAGTTACCCGCGAGCTGTCTTCATCCGCTTACCTTCTCCCTCTTCTCCCCTGTCCCCTGCCCCCCGCCCCCTGACCCCTGCCCCACGCCCCCTGTCCCCTGCTACCTCTCCTTGTCGCTGCCATCTGTAACTGGTGACAGGCCCGGACGTGGGCGGTCCCCTGGGCCCGTACCGCCAGTCAGAGCGCAATGAGATCTATCGCGAGCTGACTGAGAAGCTGCTGGCGTCTGGCATGGTGTACCGCTGCTTCTGCACTGATGAGGTGAGCAGCGGTGCTGAGAGGTGATGGGAGGGGTGTTGATGAGCAGAACTGGGAGGTTTAGGAGGTTCGCAGCAGGAACCGACTGAGTAGCTGCTGGCATCGGGCATGGTTTACCTCTGCTTCTGCTTCGATGAGGTGAGGAGCGGTGGTGAGAGGTGATGTGATGGGAACCTCGTGTGCGGTGAAATGAGGTGGTGGGGTTTTTTAGAGGTGGGCTGGGAAGGAATAGAAGTGCTGCATGGGTATTCGCCACGAGCTGACAGAGAAGCTCATGGCGTCAGGCATGGTGTTCCGCTACCCGCTGCTTCTGCACTGAAAGGGGAATGAGAAGGTGCGGGTTTCGAATAGGTGGCACATGAGGAGAGGCAGGAAGGCGGAGCAGGAGGCGGAGCAGGAGGCGGAGCAGGAGGCGGAGCAGGAGGCGGAGCATAGGTGTTTCTTATAGAACAAAAAGGGGACGATGCCGTTTTTCAACTCGAGATGTTCTTTTCTTCTCCCCGTGCATGCATGCAGGAGCTAGCAGCAATGAAGGCGGAGCAGGAGGCGAAGAAGCTTCCTCCCAAGTACGCGGGCAAGTGGGCGCGGGCCAGCGAGGACGAGGTGGCTGCTGAGCTGGCAAAGGGCACGCCACACTCGTTCCGCTTCCGAGTGCCACCCAACAAAGTCATTAAGATCAACGACCTTGTTCGCGGGGAGGTGCGATGAGACAGACAGCAGCTGTGTGCATGCATGCATGAATGGGATGGGATGGGATGGGATGGGATGGGATGGGATGGGATGGGATGGGATGGGATGGGATGGGATGGGATGGAATGGGATGGGATGGGATGGGATGGGATGGGATGGGATGGGATGGGATGGGATGGGATGGGATGGGTGAGAGACATGCATGTGCCATGAACCATGCAGCTACTACGCAGCTTGTGTTGACCTCCGTTGACCACTGTTGACTTCTTCTGACTCTCATCTGCCAGGTGGCATGGAATAGACGCAGTGGACTTCGTGATGCTTAGGTGCAACGCTGTGCTGATTTGGGTTGACTGTTGTTGACCACTGTTGACTTTTGTCCACCTCCCTTGACTGGTATTGACCTGCGTTTACTGTTGCTGTCCTTTGTTGACTTCGCTTGACCTTGTCATGAGGGGTGGAAAACGGGCACGCTGGGAGAATTTGTGGTGCTGAGGAGCAATGCTCTTTTGAACTCCTGCTGACTTGCATTGTGCTGATCTCCTTTGACTTGCATTGACTTCCCTGCCAGGTGGCATGGAACACAGATACCCTGGGTGACTTTGTGGTGCTGCGCAGCAACGGGCAGCCAGTGTACAACTTCTGTGTCACTGTGGATAACTGGCGTTGACATCTGTTGACTTGTGTTGACCCCCTCTAACTAGGTGGCGTGGAACACGGATACCCTGGGTGACTTCGTGGTGCTGCGCAGCAACGGGCAGCCAGTGTACAACTTCTGTGTCACTGTGGACGACGCCACCATGAAGATCTCCCACGTCATCAGGTGAGTCAAGTCGACGTGCTGCCATGTCAGTGTGCTGCCAGGTCACCATGCCCTCTTTTTCCCCCCTCCCTTCCCCCCCACCCGCCCACACACACATGGCACCCACACACACCACAGACACACCCACATGCACGAACGCAGACACACACACACACACACACACACACACACACACACACACACACACACACACACACACACACACGTGCCTGAGGGAGATTGAAGGCCACTCGTGCTTGGTATGCGCATCCACATTCAGCTTCCTCGCACCCACGCGCACGAACCGACACACACACACACCCTTGCTCGCTTCCGTTCCCACCCACCAATCAGAGCGGAGGAGCACTTGCCCAACACTCTGCGCCAGGCGCTCATCTACGAGGTGCGTGCACCCCTGCTCGCCCTCCGCGCCCTGCTCGCCCTCCGCGCCCTGCTTGCCCTCCGCGCCCTGCTCGCCCTCCGCGCCCTGCTTGCCCTCCGCGCCCTGCTTGCCCTCCGCGCCCTGCTTGCCCTCCGCGCCCTGCTTGCCCTCCGCGCCCTGCTCGCCCTCCGCGCCCTGCTTGCCCTCCGCGCCCTGCTTGCCCTCCGCGCCCTGCTTGCCCTCCGCGCCCTGCTCGCCCTCCGCGCCCTGCTTGCCCTCCGCGCCCTGCTTGCCCTCCGCGCCCTGCTTGCCATGCATACCACAGGATAGGACTCCCAGGACCTATGCCCCTGCATGCATGCTTGCCCCTACTCACCCCATGCCCTTCAACCCTCCTTCCATGCTCACGTTCGGCCACGTGTCGCTCATCCTCGCCCCTGACTGTTCCAAGCTCTGCAAGCCTTGACCTTACTCCCTTCATCACTCACCGCCCACTCACCTCCCTCCCTCGCCCCCTCCCTTTACCCGCACCTCACCAACCAGGCGCTGGGTCTGCCCATGCCCACATTCGGCCATGTGTCGCTCATCCGCGGCCCCTCCCTTCGACGCACCTCACCCCATTCTTCACCCCACTCTTCACCGCCCCCTTCACCCAACCCGCCAGGCCCTGGGTCTGCCCATGCCCACGTTCGGCCACGTGTCGCTCATCCTCGCTCCTGACCGCTCCAAGCTCTCCAAGCGCCACGGCGCCACCTCCGTTGGGCAGGTACGAGGGGGGACGGGGAGAGGGGGGAGAGAGGAGGCGAAGGGGAATTGAAAATGAGTGATAAGGGGGAGAGGAAGGCGGACTTGTGTGCCTTGAATTATGTGGTTTGTTCGTATACTGCTCCCTGGCCGCCTCAAGCTCTCAAAGTCACAGTCAGCCACCTCTGAGCGCCCCTGCCTTGAACCACGTGGATCGTATCCCAGCCCGAGGCGGCCTGTGAGCAGTGCCTTTTGAGAATTCTCAAAAAACACGGCCTGTGAGCAGTGCCAGATGAGCCACCTGGCAGGCCCTGCTCAACTGGAGTGCACGCATCCGTGCTCTCGCTATTGCTTTTCTCTCACCCCTCTCTACTCCCTTAACCCCAGACCAGACCCCCTTCGTGCAGTTGAAGGACCTGGGCTTCTTGCTAATGCCACGGTGAACTATCTCGCGATGCTACTCGCATCGTGCTTTTCTCGCTTCCTAACCATCATCCTCTCCCCTCCTTTCTCTCCCGCTGTCGCACCTAATCCGCCCCGCTGCAGTTCAAGGAGCTGGGCTTCCTACCAGAGGCGATGGTGAACTACCTGGCGCTGCTGGGGTGGAACGACGGCACGGAGGACGAGATCTTCACGCCCTCGCAGCTCGGTGCGTGCTGAATGGCATCAGGTGAAGCGTTCATGCTAATACTACCAGGTAATCCGACAGGCAGAACGCTCCCCTCTCTCAGTGCAGTCGAAAGTTCTCCTCTCCTTCTCAGGCTACCAGAGAGAGAGCGCACCAATGGCCATCTACTGCCCCTGCACTGCATCGAGGGCCCCTCACATGTCCTGTCCTCGCACCTCCTGCCACCCCCAACACCCCCTTTCTTGTCTCTCACCCCAGTGGAGTTTTAACTTTCCCAATAGCTTATATCCTCAGCTGTGGGTGGATATAAGCAACTGGTCACCCAGCCAGAGCGGCACCATCTTTGAAAACGCCAAGCTGCAGTGGATCAACGGCTTATCCCGGTCACTCCCTCTTTCTGCCACCCCTTTGTGCAACCTCCCTCACCCCCCCTCCCCTGTTGTCTCTCTCAGTTACAGTGGATCAATGGCCAGCTCCTGTCACTGCATGCCCCCCCCCTCTTCCCTCCCACTGCAGTTGAGAAGTTCTCCCTCTCACGCGTCACCAACAGGGCGGCCATCTTTGATAACGCCAAGCTGCGGTAAACCAACAGCTTATCCTCGTCACTCCCTTCTTTTCCACCCCATTGCGCAACTCCGTCAGTTGAGAAGTTCTCTCTCTCCCGCGTCACCAAATCGGCCGCGGTCTTCAACATTGCCAAGCTGCGGTGGATCAGTTGTTCCCCCTGTCACTCACTCCTTTCCCTGCCCGCCGCCTTTCCCTGTCATGCTCCTAACTGCAGTTGAGAAGTTCTCTCTCTCACGCGTCACCAAGTCCGCCGCCATCTTTGACAACGCCAAGCTGCGCTGGATCAACGGCCAGCACTTCCGCCAGCTGTCCGAGGAAGCTTCTACGCAGCTGCTCGCCGAGCAGTGGCATGCCAGTGGCCTGCTGGCATCAGCAGATGCTACCAGCCGCACCACGCAGGTGGGAAGGGTGGGGGGGGAGGGGGGTTGGAGGGGAAGGGAGGGGGAGGGGATACTTTTGAGAATTCTCAATAGTGGCCTGCTGGCGTCAGCAGACGCTACCAGCCGCACCACGCAGGGGGGGGGTGGGGGGGGGTGTGGGGGACGAAAGGAGGGGCAGATGGGAGGAGGGGGGATGGGGCGATGGGGTGATGGGGCGGTGGAAGTGAGGGCGTGAGCATCCGCACGGTGCTTTAACCACTGAACCATGGAGCTCGTCACAGATGCCGATTGTTTATCTAATCCTTTTCCTTTCCTTTCCCATTGTTCGTCTCCACATTGCCCGCCTCCACATTGCCCGCCTCCACATTGCCCGCCTGCACATTGCCGTGCCTGCCAAGCAGGCAGCAGCATCATTGGTGCGCAACGGGCTGGAGCTGGTCACAGATGCCGATGCAGCACTGGAGGCGCTGCTGGCATTCCCTCTCAAGGAGACGCTCGCCAGGTGAGATGCGAGCAGCACTCGCCTGACCTGATTGCCAGTGGTCGCTAGTAGTCACCAGCAATCAGCTGTTGCCAAGTGTTCACAGCCGGTATTGAATGGCAGAAACAGATGCTCATGCGACACTGGAGGCCCTGCTGGCGTACCCTTTCGAGGACATACTCGCCAGGTGAGCAGCGAGCCTCTGCCCTCGTGCATCCTGCTAGTGGGTGTGCCGATGTTATGTCAGTCTGTATGGAGTGCCGATAGGGCACGGGAGGCGCTGCTGGCACGGAGGGGGGGGCGCTGGCAGGGGTGCAGTGGGAGGGGGACGCTGGCAGGGGTGCAGTGGCAGGGGGATGCTGGCAGGGTGGTAGTGGCAGGGTGGTAGTGGCAGGGTGGTAGTGGCAGGGTGGTAGTGGCAGGGTGGTAGTGGCAGGGTGGTAGTGGCAGGGTGGTAGTGGCAGGGTGGTAGTGGCAGGGTGGTAGTGGCAGGGTGGTAGTGGCAGGGTGGTAGTGGCAGGGTGGTAGTGGCAGGGTGGTAGTGGCAGCGCAAGGGGGAAATGGCGGCCAGCCACTAGTGCCAGCCACTAGTGCCAGCCACTAGTGCCAATGGGTTGTCCTCGCTACTTCCCTCTTCATCTCCCTTGCCTTTCTTTATCTCTATAACCCTCCCTCATTTTTCCCCATGCTTCTCTTTCTCCCCACCAGCGAGGAGGCCAAAGCAGTGGTGGAGGATGGGCAGTACGAAGTGAGGGCAGCGCTGCTGGCGGAGTGGGAGAGCGGGGCGCTGCTGCTTCATCTCTCCCTTCCATTTCCCTTCCCCTTTGCATTCACCCCTGTGCCCTCACAACCACCAGCGAGGAGGCCAAGGCAGTGGTGGAGGACGGGCTGGACGAAGTGAGGGCGGCGCTGCTAACGTTTAATGCCCTCGCTCCTTCCCCTTCTGCCTTGATCTTTTTCCTACTTACCCTTCTGCTTCCAGCGAGGAGGCCAAGGCAGTGGTGGAGGACGGGCTGGACGAAGTGAGGGCGGCGCTGCTGGCGGAGTGGGAGAGCGGAGCACTGCTGGCAGCGGTGGATGGCGGCGCTGCCACGTGGAAGAAGTGGATCAAGGGGTTCGGCAAGGCCACTGGCCGCAAGGTGAGGAGGGGGAGGGGAGGGAGAGTGTGAGTTGTGAGAAGGGAAGTGGGGCAGGGTGAGGAGGGGGAGAGGGGGTGAGAAGGGAATATAGGTGCTGCCGCTTGGAAGAAGTGGATCACGTTGTGCTCAAAACGACAGCAGTGGGGATGGCAGAGGAAAGGCAGGATGGGTGGAGTGAGTTGGGGGGGAAGCTGGATATGGCAGTGCCAAGCCAAGGCTCTGCTTTTGTATGCAATGTCGTTTCAGTTCTGCCCACCACCCCCACCCCATCCCACTCCTCGTCATGTGGGTGAGGCGTCCAACATGCCCCTCGCACCCCGCTTCTCCCTCTCCGTTCCTTCCCCCCACCTCCCCCCTTCCCCCTCCGTCTTCATTCCCCGGCAGGGCAAGCGCCTCTTCATGCCCATCCGCGTGCTGCTCACAGGCTGCATGCACGGGCCTGATGTGGGGGAGACACTCACCATGCTGCAGCACGCAGCAGCGGATAAGGCGCTGGGGCCCAAGGCTCACTGCGTGGGGCTGGAGGAGCGGATTAGCATCCTTAGGGATGCAGACCTTACTGCTGCTCCTGCTGCTGCTGAGGCTGTGGCTGCAAGCGTGGCACAATGATGAGGAGGAGAGGAAGCCTTGTAGCACAGTAGGGGGTGCAGCAGGGTGCAGCAGGGTGCAGCAGGACATGGTGTGGGGCCGGAGGAGAGGATAAGCATTCCAAGGGATGCAGACCTGACTGGAGGTGTTGTTGCTGCTGCTGCTGGTGCTGGTGAGGAGGCAGTGGCTGCAAGCGTGGTGCCATGATGAGTGCGGGATGCTCAGCATGCTGCAGCAGGGTGCAGTGGGGTGCAGTGGGGTGCATGGGTTGTGGTAGACTGACACCAAGACCCACAGTTAGGGATGCTTAGGAGTTATCAGAAACAGAGTTGGCTGCTCAAGGGGGGGCAGTCGCACATACCTTGTCGCTGCAGCTGGTGGTGCTGTGGGTGCTAAAGTTGATTTAGGTGGGTGGTGTCCCTATCGGTGTTGGTTCCCAAAAGGGGTATTGCCATATTTAGGTTTGTGAATGCTCCGGCTGTATGTTGCTATCAACTTTTTTTTTTTTTGGCAATGCAAGTTACACTATAATAGCGCATACAAGCATTAACAGTCGTAACTGTTTGCTATCAACTCGACTTACAGTAAATCTCCTGCATAGAGGTAATTTCACACGGAACAGGGTTGATTATGTGCTGCTACTTCCTGTGTGTAAACAAGTCAAACAGCATTCTTCTTGTTATTACAATTGTGCACTTGCTCTTCTCTGGTAGTGACTCGCATTTAATGCATGGGCATGGAAGCGGGTATTATGCGGAGGGGGGCAGCGGGTACATGCCCATCCGAGTGCTGCTCATATGGCGCATGCACGGACCAGACGTGGGGGAGATGCTCACCATAAGAAGTTTGTCACCAACATGGTAGGGACCGAATAGACCCGCTAACTACACCCTTTTATTTGTTTGTCTTTAAGCAATGTCGACTTCAAATATCAAAGAGCACATTACACGGAGCTTCCAAGTCTCTTCTCCAAACAAAGCAACAGCAATGCAAACCAAGGAGCAAGAAAGAACGAAAATAAAAAAGAACGGTAGCTTCTCCTCTACCTTCCCGTTCCCACTCCCACCGCTTCCGCCATTCCCGCCACATCCTCCACCCGCTTCCACGCCCATGTCTTCGACTTACTCCTCCGCTGCCTCAACCGAAGCCGCCTCGCCCGCCTCCCCGCCGGAGCCGTTGTGGCCGCTTCAGTTGCGTAAGCCGCCTGAAGCGGCTCCGGCGCAAAGAGAGAGAAGATGCCTAGTATCCTCCCCCACCGATCCCTCCCTCCGCGTTATACCCGCTGCCCCCGTCCGCGTTATACCCGCTGCCGCCATCTGCGTTATATCCGCTGCCCCCGTCCGCGTTATATCCGCTGCCCCCGTCAGCGTTGTACCCGCTGCCCCCGTCCGCGTTATATCCGCTACCCCCCTCCGCGTCATCCCCGCTGCTTCGCTCCGCGTTATATCCGCTGCCCCCGTCAGCGTTGTACCCGCTGCCCCCCTCTGCATTATACCCGCTTCCACCCTCCGCGTTATCTCCGCTACCCCCCTCGGCGTTGTACCCGCTTCCCCCATCCGCGTTATACCCGCTTCCCCCCTCCGTGTTCTCCTCACTGCCCCGCTCCGCATTATACCCGCTACCGCTCTCCGCGTTGTACCCGCTGCCTCCCTCCGCGTTATACCCGCTTCCACGCTCCTCGTTATCTCCGCTGCCCCCCCCGGTGTTATACCCACTGCCGCTCTCCGCGTTATACCCGGATCCCCCCTCCGCGTTATACCCGCTTCCCCCCTCCGCGTTATCCCCACTGCCCCCCCCGGTGTTATACCCACTGCCGCTCTCCGCGTTATACCCGCTTCCCCCCTCCGCGTTATACCCGCTGCCCCCCTCCGCGTTATACCCGCTACCCCCCTCCGCGTTATACCCGCTACCCCCCTCCGCGTTATCCCCACTGCCCCTCTCCGCATTATACCCGCTGCCGCTATCCGCGTTATACCCGCTCCCTCCCTCCGCATTGTTCCCCTCGTTGTTATCACCCGAATACCCCCCACTCTCCTGGGCGCCGTACCCCTCAGACTCCTGTCCCCCATAGCCCTCAGTTTTCTTAACCACACTCTCCGTCACATACCCCTCGGATGTCTGACCCGACGACCCGTAAGCATTCTCCTCATTCAGAGAAAGATTCTCTGCGCCGTACGACTCGCCTCCCTCAGCATTCGCGTTCGACTGTTCCTCCGACGAGCCGCCGCCAAAGAAGTTCATCATGGTAACGTGCTGGAGTGGCTATTGCCGGCTTGAATAACGCGCGGTTCTTGCTCTGCTCGCGCTTCGACTCCGTCGACCGCCTGACTCGAGGCGACTGCAGAGGGCTAGCAAGTTTGAGCTAGCCACGGAGCGAAGGAGGCAGGATTTGAAGAAGAGCGAGGCTGGGGAGACCGAAATTGCTGGGAATGAGACATTGCATCTCGCATGTCCCCTTTTATGTACATTATGTCATCCCCGCGAGCACTTCTTGCTTTCGGCGCTTGTGTCTCGACTCGAAGGGCTGAATTGGAGTTGGTCCCCCCCGTCGTCCATTGCGAGCCGTGACGGCGGGAATCGCTTACGCCGCGCTCCCGAACCGCGCACCCATGTGATTCAACTGGTGGCGCCCCAATCCCAACTCCGTGCCTATGTTGCCGGTCTTGCAAGCAAACACCTCACATCGCGTCGCATTTGCTTCTGCCAGTGATTGCAAGAAAGGACCCGCGCCGCGCGCTAGGAGAGGATTTGCGAGATGATGCTGGGGCAAGTGCTCTTCATTCTCTCAATACCCGTTTATACAAAGAGACACGATCATATGAGAGGGGACAAAAATGTGACGTGTTGCTCCCCATCCCGAATCTCTCACATCTCTCCCTCTCACCAACAACCCACTCGCCACTATTTATTTCTCGTGACTGGGCACTCCCCTCAGTTCCCTCTATCATCCATCCCAGGGTTACCGTTCTTAGTTGCATTGTAAACTGGGGCTCTTACGAAATAATTTTATAGAAACGCCCAGGACAGCTTTGGAAGGGTCTGGTCTGGATCGTCAAGTACAGTACTCTCCGACCAATCAACAATGCCGGTCGGTGCTGTATGTTGCCTTGCCACGTCATTTTGAGTTTCGAAACCTCATTGACGAATCAGAGCTCAACTTGCTCAGCTAATCGCGTTGCTTGAAGACAAGCACGAGAAGGGGATATTCGAACTGCGAAGCGCCAAGGCCCAATCAATGGTCGGTGTGACTGAGACATTGACCTGGCATAGCGTCGAATGGAGTGGCAGTCCAGTCTGTAAGGGTGCTGTACAGCGCAATCCTCAGTCAAGAACAAGACCAGGTGCGACCAACTGAGTCCATGAGTCTGGCGGGATAACACTGTAATAAAGCGGTACCGTACATTTCTGTTACGATAAAACATTAGAAGAAGCGGCATCTCGTCAACTAGTCTCAAAAAACGTGTCAGGTGTCTGAGAAATAAGCGCTTGCTTCTGAGTTCAGCATTTTAGTTTGTGTTTAAGAACACTCTGAAAATCAGAGTGATGACACCTGGAAATTTAACCCTTGCTGCTGATGGATAAAAAATTTCTGCTGGCCGAGGCTAGTGCCAAATTGGCTGGACAGAAGGCAAGAAGAGCACAGCTGACAAGGGAAGCTACAACAACACCCCAATTCACGCCCTATTTACCGGCATCCTTCAGCGTGGTCAAGGCATGCACTATGCCCTCGCCAACCCGGCCTGCCAGCCCGCCCTCCTCTGTGAGCTGCCTCACTGCCGCCTTCTGCTTCTCCCTCCCCTCCTCCATCTGCACGTCAATGCGGTCAACAGCTGGAAGGACGGGGCAGTGGGGGACACAGAGAGGGAAAAGGGGGTCAATGCCTGATGGGGGATGGGGGAAATGAGGGTCAATGGGGTCAATGGCTGATGGGGAGTATGGGCCAAAGAGGGTCAATGGGGTCAATGGCTGATGGGGAGTATGGGCCAAAGAGGGTCAATGGGGTCAATGGCTGAAAGAACCAGACAGAGAGGTATAAGACAGGGCAATGAGCTATCAATGGCTGGAAGGACGAGGTGAAGAGCTGGAAAGGCAGGATAGAGACAGGCTCGGTGGGTCGCCAGGAAGGAAGGATGGAGCAACTGCTAGGGTGACTCGCAGGCGACAAGTAGTGCTTCAAAGTACATGCCTTCACCTCGCTCACCTCGCTTCACATGCACATGCGCATGGTGCAGGGTCAAGCGCACAAACATCTCCCCTCCGCCCATCGCCACCCACACTCGCTCCTTCTGCCCCACCGCCCCACACACCGCACACTCTGAACTCCCATCCAATCCTGACGTGCCAACTGGCACCGCAGGCAGGGGGGTAACAAGTGGCCGGTGCGCCTCTGCCGATACACCTCCCCCAGCAGCACCTCCCCCAGAGCCCGCCTCCCTGCGCCCCCCTGCTCTCCTGGCAGCCGCCCCCCTGGCATGCTTCTTGAGCGCTGTGATGGCCTCCCTGCCTGCATTGCGCTGGCGATCCAGGTCCACTAGCTGGAGGGGGCGGGGAGGGGTGGGGAATGGAGCGAGGGGAGGGGAGGGGAGAGAGAGAGGGGACAAGACAAGCGAAGCTGGAAAATGGTTGTTCACAGCCGTGACGGCCTGGCTGCTTGCATTGTGCTGGCGATCGAGATCCACTAGCTGGGGTTGGATGGGAGGACATGGCGAAGGGGAAGGGGAGGGGCGGAGGAAGGAGAGGGGACAAGATAAGTGAAGGGCAGGTGGGGCGAAAGGGAATTGTGCAGAGCTGTGGCAGCCTCCCTGCGCGCACTGCACTGCGCTCCTCCCCTCCCCCCCCCCCCCCCCCCCCCCAGCTTCACCTCGCCCGTCCACTGTGCCACCCTTTTGTTGCCATCCGCACTGCCCTGGCGTTGGGAGTGGGAATGTACACGAGGGGATTAGTGCAGGGCGGGTGGGGATGGGGGGGTTGAGAGGGGTACAGGCGTGGATGCAGAGAGGACAGGAGGAAGCTGCAATGGTCTCCCTGGCGGCACGCGCTGCCCGTTCGGATCCAGTAGGTGAGGGAGGGAGAGGGGAGTGCGGATGGGGAAACGGATGGGCAACGGCAAGAGATGGGGGGAGAAACGGGAGGCACAGTGGATGGGAGAGGTGAAGGGGAGGTGGGGGGAATGAGTGTGGTGGCGTGAGGAAGGGTGTGATGTGATGTGAATGTGTGATGTGCGGTGTGACGCGATGGCGTGCAATACAATATGATGCTTTCTGTGTGCCACATGGTGGTACGAGGATTGGTGTGACATACCCTAAGAAGGAATAAAAGCGGAGGAAGAGTGGGGGGTAGGGATGGGGGGGGGAGGATACAGGCGCCACAGGCCACAGCACACCCGCCTCAGCATCGAAGCAAGAGAGTGAGTGAGGTTGGCGATGTGATCCAGACATCTTCTAGCAGCTTCTCTAGCCTACACTGAATTCCTCTCCCACATCACCAGCACCGCACTGCACCGCTCACCTCCTGCTTCACCAGCAGCACCTCTTCCGCCTTGGCCTCCGCAGACCTCAGCCGCTGCTGCAGCTGCACCATCCCCTCCTCCATGCCGCCCAACCCGCCCCTCGCCTCCTCCACCCCCCCGTGCTGCTTCGGGCCTTTGTGGGAACGCGAGACACTATCCTAACGAGCGTGTGAGCACGACTGAATGTGCTGACCAATCATATGTGTCGGCCTTTCTCACACTCTTTCACAAACATTTCCTTCACCCCTCCCCCTCCCCTCTCACCTCCCTCTTCCCCCCTCTCCCCGTCCCTCCCCGCGCTCCTCCCTTCCGCCCGTCCCTCCGCAATCCTCTCTTGCCCTCCACCCTTCGCCCGCCCCTTGCCTCTCTCCGAACTCTTCACGCCAGGGGTGTGAGCCTCATTCCAGTTCACGCCTCTTTACTCCGAGCGTATGCCGCGATTCTGTCGTTCTCCCATCCTTATCGTGTGACCCTCCGCGCGTCGCTCAACCGTCGCATGCTACAAGCGGGAAAGGCGATGCCGTTGGTGCAATTGAGATAGAGTGGCGCGTGGAGGTGGGCTGTGGAAGGGCGGAGAGCGGGGAACGCGCGGGGTAGAAGTTAAGAGGGCGACAGGGCGGAAGCGACGATGAGCGATCGACGACTGCCTCGCGACGAGCAGCGAGCGATGGGCGTGCGACAACAAGACCTCAGCGACGGGACGTGCGAGACAAGAGGTTGGTGGGAATTCAGAAAATGAGGTTCGGGGTGCTGCGAGACATGAATGTAACAAGTAGCCTTGGCAAGTTCCTCCTTGCGAAGCAAGAGTCGAAGTTCAATCAACCCTACTGTGATCAGGGATTACATTTCGCACAGTTTCGCCACAGCCAGGGACTCGCCAGTTTCGCATCCTACAACAGCAGCTGTTTGGACGGGCCAGCTTGGCTCGAATCCCACCACCAGGATTTATTTACGAACATAAACATGAATCCTTGGCTCACCCAGACCGAAACAAGCCTGAACGGATTTACAGCGGCCAATGACATTCCGAAACTGAACGCTTCGCCGACGCATTCAGCGAAGGGGTTTCTATGCCCCTAACGGCACATGCTCCTCTCGCTCCGCGTGCTTCCCGCGTGCTCACACTATCCTTCCACTCACCGCGCTAACCGTGCCGCGGCACTCCACGGTCCCGCACGTCGCGTCCTTCCGTCGCGCCATCGCGCCTGCCACGCGCGCATTGACACCGCATAGCGCGCTCTAGCCTCCCCCGCTGCAGCTCCGACGTACTTTTTTCCCGCGCGCAGCGGCTCTCACCTCACAGTGGCTCTCGCGTCGCACATAGGTCGTCGGGGTCGGTAGCAGAGTTATCCTACCACCCATCCACGTCACCATCCACGTCACCACCCATCCACGTTACCACCCATCCACGTCACCATCCATCCACGCCACCAGCCATCAAATTCGCGTCCGCGTTTGCGTTCTTGGCGCCTCGGAAGCCGACCGCCTCGTTATAGCGGCCACATGGACGAGTCTGACGTGTCATGGGAGGAGTTTTTCGCCACGTCACCACCTCTCGCAGAAGCTGACGTCATCAAGGAGCAGCTTTCGGCCTTCATCGTACGCCACGTCATCATCAGCATCACGAACATTATGAGCGGCCTTCCCCATGTGGCCTGCCATGTCCATGCGGCCATCATGCTGCCCCTGATGATGAATGGCGACGCCCCCACTCCTGTTACCGCTCCCATCGTGCTTCTCTTCGCCCCCAGCATGACCGAGCACCACTCACTGGCCCCAGTCTCCATGCACCCGCGCCCCTCCACACTCCACAGCCCCCATCCTCCCTTTTGAGGCGCCCCAAAAGTCGCCTGCCCCGCTCGCTCGTTCTCCCGTCTTCCCCGCTCTGCACGCCCACGTTTCAGTTTCAGTGCCTCCACGCCACGCTCGTCCCTGCTGCCCATCCCTCCTCCCTCACCGCTCCTTCAGTGCTGCTGCCGTGTCATGCACGGCATAGGCGGGACCCCGGTGCTGCTGCACCCATTCACCCTCCCTTCCCCCTCGTTTCTGCTCTTTCTCGCCTCTCCCCCTAGCCCCCCCGCCCCACGCGCCTCCCCTCTACAGCGAGCATCACAGCAGCCTGGGGGGTGCCTCCCGGGTGGCATGTGTGACGTCGGGCGGCACGACAGTGCCCCTGGCGCGCCGATGTGTGTGCTTCATCCACAACTTCATTCTTCCCGCTTCCCGTCCCCGCCCCTTCTTTTCCTCCCCCCCCCCCCCCCCCCCCCCCCCCCTCCTTTGCAGCAAGCGTCGCAGCAGCGTGGGGGTGCATCCCCAGTCGTGTGTGCGACGTCAGGCGGCACAACACTGCCGTTAAAGCGCCGCTGTGTGCACTTCATTGACAGCTTCACACCCCCCCTCCTCTCTTCTTTCCTTCCCTCCCCTCACCTTTCTTGCAGCAAGCATCGCAGCAGCCTGGGGGCGCCCCACTGGTAACGTGTGTGACATCGGGCGGCACGACAGTACCTCTGGAGCGGCGCTGTGTGCGCTTCATTGACAACTTCAGCGCCGGCAACCGCGGGGCCGCCTCCTGCGAGTGAGAGTTTGGGATGGGGTGAACGAGCCCTTCCCCATCATCAGCTCCTCCCTTTGCTGCGCTGCGTCCTGCCGCCCTGTGCCGGGTGCAACGGCAGTTTCCGTGCTCGAGACACTGCCAGATCTCGTCTCGCACGTGCATTTTCATCTCCGTCTCTTGCCTTTCGGAAAACGTGTTTGCCCCTCTCCGTGCGTTTACGCCACTCAGCCCTTCCATTCCACATCACCTACCACACTCACACATTTCCCCCTTATCCTCTCCACCGCTCCCAACCACTCCACATCCGTGTGCATGCATACGTGGCGACCGTTCCCCCCTGCGTGCAGGCACTTCCTCGCCCAGGGTTACTCCGTGATCTTCCTGCACAGGCGGTATGCTGCCCACTCCTATGCTATTTTCCTGTGTGCGTGTGTGTGTGAGCGCGCGCGCGCGCGTGTGTGTGTGCGTGTGTGTGTGCGTGTGTTTGCGTGGGTGTGGGTGTGTGCGTGCATGCGTGCGTGCGTGTGTGTGTGTGTCGCCACTGCAACCACGACCATGCTCTGCACTGCACTCTCTGCAACCACGACCATGCTCTGCACTGCACTCTCTGCAACCACGACCATGCTCTGCACTGCACTCACTGCAACCACGACCATGCTCTGCACTGCACTCTCTGCAACCACGACCATGCTCTGCACTGCAACCACGACCATGCTCTGCACTGCACTCACTGCAACCACGACCATGCTCTGCACTGCACTCTCTGCAACCACGACCATGCTCTGCACTGCACTCTCTGCAACCACGACCATGCTCTGCACTGCACTCTCTGCAACCACGACCATGCTCTGCACTGCACTCTCTGCAACCACGACCATGCTCTGCACTGCACTCTCTGCAACCACGACCATGCTCTGCACTGCACTCACTGCAACCACGACCATGCTCTGCACTGCACTCTCTGCAACCACGACCATGCTCTGCACTGCACTCTCTGCAACCACGACCATGCTCTGCACTGCACTCTCTGCAACCACGACCATGCTCTGCACTGCACTCACTGCAACCACGACCATGCTCTGCACTGCACTCTCTGCAACCACGACCATGCTCTGCACTGCACTCTCTGCAACCACGACCATGCTCTGCACTGCACTCTCTGCAACCACGACCATGCTCTGCACTGCACTCACTGCAACCACGACCATGCTCTGCACTGCACTCTCTGCAACTGCCACTCTGCATGTGCTCGCTCTCTCTTTCTGCCACGCGCTTCACTCAGCGCGCCTGCAGTCAGTCGCTACCAGCACCCATTCATTTGTGCTGTTAGGCAATGCACATAAGGAGCGCATTCCTGAGGTGTAAATAGCACTCGTAGGTATGTGTTGTGGTTCTCTCAGGAAGTGTGTCGCATCACTACCACCGCCACGTCACTACCACTGCCACGTCACTACCACCGCCACGTCACTGCCACGGCCACAGCGTGTTGCGTGTGTCTCGCCGCACGAAAAATCGACTCTCTCTCCTTGCTTCTCACTGCTCATGTTTCACTCTCCTCACGTCGTCCTCCCCATCCTTTTCCTTCCTCCTCCTCCTCCTCCTCCTCCTCCTCCTCCTCCTCCTCCTCCTCCTCCTCCTCCTCCTCCTCCTCCTCCTCCTCCTCCTCCTCCTCCTCCTCTCACTACCACACCTCCAATATCACCCGTGCCATTCCCACCACACTGCGCTGGCCTCCATGCGTCTTTTGTGCCGCGGCCTCCCAGAGTCCCGCCTCCATACTAGGTCCTTCTCCTCCTCCTTTTTAATCTTCTTCCTCTTCTCTACTCCTCCACGCCAGGGGCTCCATGCGTCCCTTCTGCCGCGGCCTGCCCGAGTCTCCTCTCCTCACGTGCCTGCGAGCCACGCCCGCTGCTGACACCCCCCGGGGTGAGGGCGAGGGTAGTGCTGCCCAGTGCGTGCAGCAGGAGGGGCAAGGCGAGGGCAGTGGGCGTGGGGAGGAGGGAGTGAGCGGAGAACAGGGAGGCAGTGGGGAGAAGAGTGCCAGTGCGGCACAGAGCAGTGGCAGCGGTTCCGGGCGAATGTACCTTGAAGGTGCGTGCGTGCTCCTGACTGGCAGGCGATGGGGTGCGGTGCTGTAGGGTGCAGTGCTGTGTCATAGCTGACAGTTTGGAACCACTTTCGACAGCAACTCTTTACTAATTTTATCCACTCGCTTCCTCGTGCCATGCAAATCATTCTTTCGCCTCCTAATCCCCCCCTCCCTCATTCCCTGTCTCCCACCCCATGTCCCGCCACCACATCCCTTGTCGCCCTCCTCCCCCCTCACTGCCCCTGCCAGCCATTCCGCCCTACACAGATGCTGTGCATCGAGCCGTTCTCATGTTCAATCAGGTGCGCTCTCTAGTGAGATTTACACTAAGTGCGTTTTACATTAGCGTATTGATGCTAAATTAGCATATAAACGCTCAGGAAGTTGTGCTTTACGCTTGGGGGTGATAGGGCATACACTAGTTAGGAACATGCATGGCCGGTCAGGTAAAAACAACCCTGGAAAGGTCCTGAAAATACTTGGCGGGGTTGAGGGGAGGGAGAAGGGAAAGGGGAAAGAGGGCAGGTAAGGAGCTAGGCATTCTAGGGAGATCGTGAAATGGCCCAGTGCGATCGTGAGTTAGGGCTGAGTTGCGGCAGCGAGAATACAGGAGAAGCTACAAGCAGGCCCCTTCAGGGCATAGAGTGCTGACGACAGTGGAGGGGTTGGATAGGGAGAGAGAGTGGAATTCAATGGGGATGGGGGTAGTACAAGGGTGGGAGAAAAAGTTTGTGGTGAAGCAGTCCTTATCTAGAGTTGACGACTCTTCGCAGCGAATCTCTAAAACGTGAAATGTCGCCCGGAAGACTCCATTGGTTTGCCTGTGCAGCCCAGCTTTTACTTCTCTAGAATATTGCGTAAACCCTAGCAAGCATGCAGCGTGAAGCGTATCCACTCTAGTGTTTTGCGCGGTACGCTAGGCCAACCGAGAGTGTTTTTTCTCACTCAGGTGCTCCAGCACCCACCTGACCCATGGCTTGTGCACACCGCTTGCACCCCTGGCATTCCCCGCATGGCCCTTGGCTATGCTGTGTCGTTTCCTGGTCCAAGAAATGCCGTCCGCTCGTTTCCTTGTTCACCGCTTTCCATCTCTGTGCAACGCACACCACCGCTCTACTCCGTGCAGGCTCAGGAGGGAGGGCGGCTACTGCTGCTGCCATTCACCACGCTCTTCCAGTACCTGCAGGTGAGCCGCTCTTCCAGTACCTGCAGGTGAGCCGCTCTTCCAGTACCTGCAGGTGAGCCGCTCTTCCAGTACCTGCAGGTGAGCCGCTCTTCCAGTACCTGCAGGTGAGCTGCTCTTCCAGTACCTGCAGGTGCCGCCCTTCTCCCGTAGCGTCCACCGATATAGCATCCATCACGAGAGCGCTCGTGCTGATAGTGATCCCCTCCACAGCCGCTTGTGCGTTACAAGAGGCTCAAACAGGCAAAAACATGAGAGGATTCACTGCAGTTTCCAGGTCGGGACTCGTATGATTCATGCTCGTGCGGCTCGTGTAAGTGCAGCCTGGAAGCTCTTCAAGATACTCTCTTACGACATTTGACCCTCCCCGTTGCACGTCAGTATATTCGATTGTCAACGTGGTTCATCATTTCTGTGGCTGCTGCTGGGTGAAAATGACTACCAGGACTGTGACAGGCATTTAGATTCCATCACTTCTTAAGATATGTCCTCTTGTTTGTTTCCTACAAGCAGCTCAACCCCTTCAAGTCGGCTGTTGTCGGTCTCGAGTTGCTCCCATGCCATCCCATCCTCCCAACTGCCAGCACTTGGCCTTTCACCTCCCAACTGCCAGCACTTGGCCTTTCACCTCCCAACTGCCAGCACTTGGCCTTTCACCTCCCAACTGCCAGCACTTGGCCTTTCCCGACTGCCAGCACTTGGCCTTTCACCTCCCAACTGCCAGCACTTGGCCTTTCACCTCCCAACTGCCAGCACTTGGCCTTTCACCTCCCAACTGCCAGCACTTGGCCTTTCACCTCCCGACTTATCGCCTCCCTTTCTTTCCTCTTCCTTTCCGCTCCTCCCCTCCCCAGTTGCTTCGCCTGGTGGCAGAAGCCTTGAACCCCATTGGTCCACGTGGCATGGTCTACCTGGCAGCAGCAGTGTCTGACTTCTTTGTGCCCTGGCCCTCCATGGTACAACCTTACCCTAACCCCCTCTGTCCATAAATTCTCTACCTTAATTCATCCATGGAACACCCTGACCCTAACCCCTAAGTGCTGAACCAATGATGTCATGTTATGCCAATTCATGCCATGCCATGCCCTTCCCTGCCGCGCCGTGCCGTTCCCGGCTACGTTGTGCCATGCCATGCCTTCCTAGTGTGGCCACGTCCGCACGCCATGCAACTATCACCCATCCGTCCCTCCATGGGCCGTTTATCCCTTTCCCACTCCTGAGGGGGGATTCTCCAGGCAGGCCCTCCGGACTCCATGTACTTGCTAGGGCATGCCATATGTCTTGCACACTGCCGCCACCCTGCCCAATCCCCGCCATGCTACCCTTCCCTGGCAGGTGGAGCACACAATGCAGTCGCCCACTGGCCGGGCCCACTGACCACTGACCATGTTCGTTCTTGCTTCAACCCACACCACACCAGCACATGCCACTCGCACCCACCCTGCACCCCGCATACCTCTCTCCCACTCTCCACCATCCCTCCCACTCTCCACCATCCCTCCCACTCTCCACCATCCGTCCCACATCTCTCCCCCCTTCCTCCCCCTCTCACCAGGTGGAGCACACGATCCAGTGGGGCGTGGGCCTCCTGGGCATCCATCTGGCGCGCGTGCCCAAGATGACTTTGACATGTCTCACAACCCACTCCCCGCCTCTCTTCCCTTCCTCACGCCAGGTGGAGCACAAGATCCAGTCGGGTGCAGGCCCACTGGACATCCACCTGGCGCGCGTGCCCAAGATGATTCCCCTCCTGCGCTCCCTCTGGTGCCCCTCCGCCCTCCTCGTCTCCTTCAAGGTCCGCCTCCCACCCTCCCACCCTCACAACCTCACAACCTCACACTCACTCGCCTCTCCACCCATCCCGCCTCGCCACGCTCTCCTTCCGCTGCCCTGCCTCTTCCTTGCTCTTGCTGCACTCCGTCGCACCCAAGTGTCATGCGAGCATGCGATGCTTCTGATTTTCTTGTAGCCTGAAAAGGAAACCAATATGCGATGCAAGGGTGGACCAGGGGAATGGATTCGGTGTGTCACGTCGTTGAGAGGATAGGGGAGAGGCAAGGGAGATGTGATGTCATCTTCACAAACCCTTGTCCCCATCCCTCCTCCCCGATTTCCCAGTTGGGGATGACCAGCAGCATATTGCACCGTAAAGAACCCCACTTCCTCTCCCCCAACCCCTCGCCTTTCTGCCCTTCCCCAGCTGGAGACGGACAGCAGCATTCTGCTCAGCAAGGCGCGCTCAGCCCTGCAGAAGAACCAGGTGCATGCGGTGGTGGCCAATGAGCTGCTGACACGTGGCAGTAAGGTGGTGCTGGTGACGGAAGAGGGGGAGGAGGTGATAGAGCGGGGCGAGGGGGGGGTTGAGGGGAAGGGGGCAGTTGGAGATGTGGAGGAGCCACTGGTGAAGCTGCTAGCAGCCATGCACCACACGCACTGCCAGCGGGATCGATAGTTGCGGGGAGGGGGAGGGGAGGGGAGAGGGGCGAGGACATGGCGAGGGGGCAGTGGGAGATGTGGAGGAGCCACTGGTGAAGCTGCTGGCAGCCATGCACCACAAGCACTGCCAGGAAGGTTAATGGTGTGGGGGTTTGAGTCTCTAAGGTTGGAGGGAAGGGGGCAGGGAAGGGAGCGCGGTGAGGGGGAGGTCGGGGGGAAGGGGGCAGGGAAGGGAGCGCGGTGAGGGGGAGGTAGGGGGGAAGGGGGCAGTTGGAGACGTGGAGGAGCCACTGGTGAAGCTGCTGGCGGCCATGCACCACACGCACTGCCAGGAGGGCTGATGGTTTGAGGCTGTGAGGCTGTGAGGCTCTTGGGGCTTTTGGGGCTTTGGGTCGCGTGCTATAGCAGGCAGCTGTGGGTCGCGTGCTATAGCAGGCAGCTGTGGGTCGCGTGCTATAGCAGGCAGCTGTGGGTCGCGTGCTATAGCAGGCAGCTGTGGGTCGCGTGCTATAGCAGGCAGCTGTGGGTCGCGTGCTATAGCAGGCAGCTGTGGGTCGCGTGCTATAGCAGGCAGCTGTGGGTCGCGTGCTATAGCAGGCAGCTGTGGGTCGCGTGCTATAGCAGGCAGCTGTGGGTCGCGTGCTATAGCAGGCAGCTGTGGGTCGCGTGCTATAGCAGGCAGCTGTGGGTCGCGTGCTATAGCAGGCAGCTGTGGGTCGCGTGCTATAGCAGGCAGCTGTGGGTCGCGTGCTATAGCAGGCAGCTGTGGGTCGCGTGCTATAGCAGGCAGCTGTGGGTCGCGTGCTATAGCAGGCAGCTGTGGGTCGAGTGCTATAGCAGGCAGCTGTGGGTCGCGTGCTATAGCAGGTAGCTGTGGGTCGCATGCTATAGCAGGCAGCTGTGGGTCGCGTGCTATAGCAGGCAGCTGTGGGTCGCGTGCTATAGCAGGCAGCTGTGGGTCGCGTGCTATAGCAGGCAGCTGTGGGTCGCGTGCTATAGCAGGCAGCTGTGGGTCGCGTGCTATAGCAGGCAGCTGTGGGTCGCGTGCTATAGCAGGCAGCTGTGGGTCGCGTGCTATAGCAGGCAGCTGTGGGTCGCGTGCTATAGCAGGCAGCTGTGGGTCGCGTGCTATAGCAGGCAGCTGTGGGTCGCGTGCTATAGCAGGCAGCTGTGGGCGCAGGGGACGGGGCAAGGGGAGGAGGTGATAGAGTGGGCAAAAGGGGGATGGGCGCAAGGGGGGAGTGGGGGACGTGGAGGGGGAATGCTAACTGTCATGCATGTAACCACCATCAGGGGGCTGATGCTTTGACGCCTGGAGTCTCATGGGCTACCGTTTGTGCCTTTCATGTGTTAGGAGGCGCCTGTACCAGCATGCACGAGTGGGTGCAGGTAAATCAGTGCATGAAGCTTGGACTGTGCACGGGTGGCATCACGGTTGCTGCTGACACACAGCTGGGTTCTGAGGCGACTCAACTCAAAGACCATGCAAGGCATGGCATGAGGGCCTTTACATCCAGCTGGTAACCAGTGCGTTACAGTGTGCCGAAGCTATCCTAACTGCTTGCCTGCTCTGCAGGATGAAGTGTGCAGTTGCCAACTGACTACATTTGCAATAAACGAATTTACAGTTTCCATTGCCAGCACCACATGTACGGTACACAAAGCACTACGTATGTGTAAGTCATGCATAACCAACAAATCTACTGATTCATTCTGCTGGCCGACACAGCCAGTACATTGGCACAGCAAGCTCTGCTGGCATGTCAATCATTCCAGGAAACGGCAAAACATGTCTCTACAGTGATGGAAGCTATCTATGCAAGGCATGCGATGCGTGACACAACTTCCACCGAAATGGCAGTCGATAAGGCACCTTGTAGTCCGAGTGTGGGGGAGCTATGCAATTCATGCAAGGCATGGGAGGAATGGGATGGGAGAGAGCCATGGTTAAGCACGTGTGTGGCGGTCAGTAGGGCGGCTTGTAGCCTTGCTGTGGGGGAGGAGGATACCCTCCTGGCTGCGACGAGTAGCCACCCTGCTGAGTTGGAGACCCGGCGTGCTGGGGAGGGTAACCGCCGGGTTGGGAAGAATAACCACCCTGCTGTGGAGGGTTATTACCCTGCTGTGTGGGGTAACCTCCAGGTTGAGAAGAATAACCGCCCTGTTGTGGAGGGTAACCACCCTGTTGATTCGGCTGTGGGGGGTAACCACCCTGTTGAGAAGAATACCCTCCCTGCTGAGGGGGGTAACCACCCTGCTGCCCATACCCGCCTTGAGGAGACGGATACCCCCCCTCTTGCGAAGGGAACTGGTCTGGTGCAGGCGGGGCGGAGGGCACGGTGGGATAGCTGGAAGGAGGGGCACCGGGGTACGGCTGCTGCTGCTGCTGGTAGTAGGGGGGCGGTTGCTGCTGGCCATACGGCGGTGGCTGTTGCTGTTGCTGGTATCCCATGCCCGAAGCAGCAGCAGCGTCCATCTCGAGCACTCGTGGAGGGGGAGGCAGAGGCGGGGTGGGTGGCATGCGCCCGATGCGCTTGCTGCACGGAACCCATTGAGGGGGGGGGGGGGGGGGACACAGGACGTGGGGAAACCGGGGACGGGGTAAGAATGACGAGGAGGATAGATGCTTGCGATGAGGGAGAAGCGATGCCCATGGATGGCCATTGAGAGCCACTCCATGTGAACTCGAGGACCAAGCCACCACCCATCCACACCTTTTCCACTCACTGCCCCCTACCCTCACCCAAAAAAACTCTCCGCTCAACCGTTAGTGCCCCACTCACCCCAGCGTGCCCATCTCGCTGCACGCCTTGAACTGCAGCGGCACCTCCATCAGCGCACTCAGTGCAAAACACAGCAGCTCACCCTTCCATGCATCCCCCATTCACCCCGACACACCCATCTTGCTGCCCTCACCCCCCTCCCTCAACCCACCCCTCCTCCACTCACCCCAGAGCACCCATCTCGCTGCACGCCTTGAACTGCAGCGGTACCTCCATGAGCGCACTCAGCGCAAAGCGCACCGCCTTCTGCTCATGCGGCCCCGGCGCTGCCAGGATCTGCGAACAGTCCACGAACTGGGGAGGGGTGGGGGAGAACAGGGGGGGGAAGGGGTGAATACAGGGGGGACAGGGAAGTGGACACTGGGAAATACATTGCCTTGAGGTCGTGCAATCCACAATTCCCCACATCGTTTGACGGAGCTAGAATTTGTAAGTCCACGAACGGGTGCACTGAGAGGGGGGCGGGGTGGGGGAGACGTTGTGGGGTGGGGGAGACGTTGTGGGGTGGGGGAGACGTTGTGGGTGAGGGAGACGTTGTGGGGTGGGGGAGACGTTGTGGGGTGGGGGAGACGTTGTGGGGTGGGGGAGACGTTGTGGGGTGGGGGAGACGTTGTGGGTGAGGGAGACGTTGTGGGGTGGGGGAGACGTTGTGGGTGAGGGAGACGTTGTGGGGTGGGGGAGACGTTGTGGGGTGGGGGAGACGTTGTGGGTGAGGGAGACGTTGTGGGGTGGGGGAGACGTTGTGGGGTGGGGGAGACGTTGTGGGGTGGGGGAGACGTTGTGGGGTGGGGGAGACGTTGTGGGGTGGGGGAGACGTTGTGGGGTGGGGGAGACGTTGTGGGGTGGGGGAGACGTTGTGGGTGAGGGAGACGTTGTGGGGTGGGGGAGACGTTGTGGGGTGGGGGAGACGTTGTGGGTGAGGGAGACGTTGTGGGGTGGGGGAGACGTTGTGGGGTGGGGGAGACGTTGTGGGGTGGGGGAGACGTTGTGGGGTGGGGGAGACGTTGTGGGGTGGGGGAGACGTTGTGGGGTGGGGGAGACGTTGTGGGGTGGGGGAGACGTTGTGGGGTGGGGGAGACGTTGTGGGTGAGGGAGACGTTGTGGGGTGGGGGAGACGTTGTGGGGTGGGGGAGACGTTGTGGGGTGGGGGAGACGTTGTGGGGTGGGGGAGACGTTGTGGGGTGGGGGAGACGTTGTGGGGTGGGGGAGACGTTGTAGGGTGGGGGAGACGTTGTGGGGTGGGGGAGACGTTGTGGGATGGGGGAGATGTTGTGGGGTGGGGGAGACGTTGTGGGGTGGGGGAGACGTTGTGGGGTGGGGGAGACGTTGTGGGGTGGGGGAGACGTTGAGGGTGAGGGAGACGTTGTGGGGTGGGGGAGACGTTGTGGGTGAGGGAGACGTTGTGGGGTGAGGGAGACGTTGTGGGTGAGGGAGACGTTGTGGGGTGGGGGAGACATTGTGGGGTTGGGGGGCAGGGGGGGGAGGTGTTCGAAAGGGGGGCAAGGGAAGTGGGGAATAGAGAGCAAGAGAGTGGAGTGAGATGAAACGAGATGCGTGGAAAGGAAGAGGGGGAGTGACAGGCCTGGTGATCACAGTGCAAGATGACAGCCGCACAGGGAGAGGAGAGGCAAGAAGAGAGATTGACGAAGGTAAGGGTGTGTGGCAGTGTGTGTGTGGCATGCCCGACTTTTGACAGTGCAATGCAACCGGAAGACCACCAAGAAACGTTGCACAGCGCGTAACAAGTTGAATTCTGAGTCGCCTCAAAAGTCAACAAAGTTGCGAAGCGTGCAAGAAACGCTTCAGTAAGACCAGAGGCAGCAACGGGGTGGCGGCGCAGAGGAGCAGGGCGGGCAGGCATGGCGACCTGGAAGTTGTCGAAGTTGCGCTGCGGCAGCCCGTCGTCAAAGCTGTGCATCACTTCCCATGGGCCGTCGCCCACCCCCACGAGTATTATGGAGAGCGCGTAGTTGCTGGCAGGAAGGGGTGGTGGTCATGGCGTTGCGGCGTGCGAGGAGGGAGGGGCGGGCAAGAGAGGAGTGGAGAGAGCAGGGGGGAGAGAGGAAGAAGGAAAGGGAAAGGGAGAGGGAGAGGGTGAGTACCTGGAAGTTGTCGAAGGCCCTAGCCGGCAGCAGGTCGTCAAAGCCGTGCATCACGTCCCAGGGGCCGTCTCCCACGCCCACGAGCACTATGGAGAGCGCATAGTTGCTGGCAGGGTGGGGAAGGGACGAGGGGGGAGGGGCGGAGACGGGAGGGAAGAGGGGACAAAGGAGTGAAATGGCGGTAAGTTGGTAACGGGGGGGTGGGGCGGGGCTGCAGTGAGCGAAGTAGTAAAGAAGAGCACTGAATACTTGTGAGCGACTAAGGACCGGCCTGTGAACGGAAACTGGGGCGAGTGGGGAGGGAGGGGCAGGGAGTGTGTTGCGGAAGAGAGAAAGGGATGGGAAAAGGGTAGGTAGGACGAGACGAGAGAGCATGCGTTGAAGCAGTGGGTGAGTGGGTCAAAGCGCATGCGTTGCTTAGATTATGCACCTTGCCCTGCCCTGCACCCCAATGCTCTTCCCCCCAATGCACCCCAATGCACCCTGATGCTCTTCCCCCCAATGCACCCCAATGCTCTTCCCCCCAATGCACCCCAATGCTCTTCCCCCCAATGCACCCCAATGCACCCCATTGCACCCCAATGCACCCCATTGCACCCCAATGCACCCCATTGCACCCCAATGCACCCCATTGCACCCCAATGCACCCCAATGCACCCCAATGCACCCCATTGCACCCCAATGCACCCCATTGCACCCCGATACACGGCAATGCACCCCTCACCTGGCAGCAACGATGGCGTCCACAGTGGCGCGCTCCTGCTTGCTCAGCTGCCCGGGCGGCACGTCCGCACTGCGCGTCACCTGGGGGGGGGTAGAGGGGCGGAAAAGCGGGAGAGGCGGAAGAGAGAGGGCAGAGAGGTGGGAGAGCTGCCACGGGCGGGACGTCCGCTCCGCACGTCACGTCACCTCACCTGTGGGGGGGGTGGTTGGGGCAGGAGGCCGTTCGTGCAAAGGACAGAAAGGGGGGTGCGGAGCTGACGGATAAAGGTTAGTGAGTGAGAGAGAGGTTGGGAGAGGAAGAGGGAAAAAGCAACGAGAGGAAGGGGGGAGGCATGGGGAAGTGGGCACGAGGGGGCATGAGGGGGGGGACAATGAGAGGCAGTGTGGGGCAATGGGAGTGACGGGCGGTGAAGAGTGAACAAGGGAGCGGAGCAGGTACGCACCTGGCCGTCAGCAATGATGAGCAGCACGTGGTAGTTGCCCCCGCTCTCCTCCACTATGCGCACCGCTGCCTCTATTGCCGGGGCAAAGGATGTGGGACCTGCACATGGGGGCGAGATTGGAAGAGGGAGGTTGAAGGACGGTGGTGGGGTGGAGGGAGCGTGAATGGAGGTAAGCAAGGAAAGGAATGCAAGAGAGGTACGGAAGCGGCCGGGAATGAGGATACGGGAGGGACGCAGCGGCGGGAGCGCGAGACGAGATAAGAAACTGCATGGAGCAGAAGGGAGGGGACAGCAGCAGCAGCGCACCTGAGAGCTTGACGTGGGGTGCAATGGCCCGGTAGCGTGCTAGCGCCTCTGCAATGCCGTTGCACGGCCGGTTGTCACGGTTGAATGAGAACACTGCCTTATCATGCGTTGTGGCTGCTCAATGGGGATGAGGAGGGGGAGTGAGGGAAGAAGGGAGGGTGGAATGAAGGGGAAAGAATGGCGGGGGGAAATGAATGGTGGCAGCCTCGAATGCAGGCTTACTTTCCTGCACGTGCTCGCATGTGTGAACGCACAGCAAGGCGGAAAGGGAGGGGAGCAAGCAACCCACTGAGCATCACCAACGACGAATGTGACGTCGTCCTGATCGACGAAATCGAGGGCCTCCCCCATGTTCCGAACGGGAGACGTCTCAGGACCAGCCGACTACCACAGATCATGGAGAGGACAGGAGGGGATGGGGTAGGCACGGACCGTCGCCGAAGCCGAAGGCGGGGATGAGGTTGTCCTCGTCGAAGGGCTCTAGCGTCTCCCCGATGATCTGAATGGCCTGCTCGTACGGGTTCATGTGCGGCCCTATGGCGTGCAGACACCGCCCGCCAAACGTGTGCTTGCCTGCAGGATGGAAACGAAAGGGGCGGGTGGGTGAGAGCGGAACAAGCGAGAGAGTGTGAGGCCGGGGGGGAGCGGAGTGGAGCAACGATGCGGTATCTGGGTGGTTGGAAGGGGAGATCTGACCTGTCCATTCGTTGCTCTTGGTGAAATCAACGGCTACGATTAGATTGCTGGACTCCAGCCCCACCTCTCGGAGCTTCTCCTGGACCTGCCGGCATACGAGCACACGAGCACAAGTGGCACGCGAGCAGACGAGTGAGCAGACAGGCGAGAGATGCAGGCAGGCAGGCAGGCCAGCAGGCAGGTGCGGGCAGGCGCACAGCCACACATGGGGCATAATGTGCATCCAGCGTTAGCCACCCGCGTTGCGCATGCAGCACGCGCCACGGCAATCCAATAACCCGGCCTGCTGCATGTCCCTGCTTACTTCCTTCCTTCTCCTCTCACCTGCGCTCTGCTCGTCATCGTCTCGCCTCCCCCTTTGTACTCTCCTTACCCACCCCCCCTACCTGCTGAATGTTCTGGAACGAATCCGGAATGAATCCATACTTCTGCTGAAACGTCATCTGCGCCCTCCCCCCTCCCCCACCTGCGCTCGGTTCAGGCCCCACCTTCCCCTTACCCGCCTCCCTACCTGCTGAATGTTCTGAAACGAATCCGGAATGAAACCGTACTTCTGCTGAAACGTCATCTGCGCCCTCCCCCCGCCGCCGCCCCCTGCTGCCCCGCCGTATCCCCCCGCCTGCCCATACCCTCCCGGCGCTCCGCCATAGCCCGCAGGCGGCGGCGCAGCTGGCGCGTAGCCGCCCTGCGCGTACCCCACGGGGGGAGGGTATCCGGGCTGGCCGGCCGGCGGCGGTTGCGGCTGCTGCTGCTGCGGCTTGCCCTTTTTGAAAAAGCCGAACATAGGGACGCGCCGGGGGTGACTTCAAATCGAAAAGAGGGAAAAAGGAAGTGGTAACGGCGATGAGGAGGAGGACGAGAGCGGAGGACGAAACGAGCTGGCGAAACGATGAACGCGAAGAAGTGAGAGGAAGACGAACGGATCGAACGCTGAGGAGATTCCGAGCTAGTAGGTAAGGGGATCAGTGTAAGTTGCAGTAGATTTTGATTCGTGTGAGTAACAAACGACAGGAGGGTGGCGGCAGGTATGTACTCGCTGCGAGGAGAGGCGATTTCGACGCGCGCTGCTGTCGTCTCGCCCTCGCGACGAGCGGCGCAAACGAAAACGACACGGACCGGGCGATGAGGGAAATGCGCTGTATGCGCGTGAGACGCGTTGATGAGCTGCGATCCGAGACGAGGCAAGCGACAGACAGTCTTCCTTGTCACGCTACTGGGATGGTGCTCGCAGCTTCACCTTGGGAGGGCCAGTAGCTTCGGACGAGGTGCAAGGGGTGGATTGGTTCGAACATGCAGAACTGCGGAGTGCTTTACTGTGGGAACCTCGATATAGAGCTGCACGACGATTAGTGCACATCTAAAGTTTCTACATATAAATAAGTCAAAATTTGCAACATTATTAACCCTGCATACAGCAGCCTACTTAGTTGTTACAATGCCAAGTCAAAGCACATCTGCAAGCCAACTCAAAATGATTCACCTTCACATATAATTTTATATCTGCTCGTTTGATTGTTCTCATGGCGCCCTCTGCATCCCCGCGTGTGCAACACTTACTGCATCCCCACTGCATGCTCCAATCCCATCCCATCCCGTCCACCGCGCTGTGAACAAGAAGCAGCGCCAGCACACCACCAGGGTGGTAAAAATGTGGGTGGTAAAATAAGAAACGGATTGCACCTCACACACCCTACCCATGACGAGCCATTGTTATGCACCGCACTCTCATCAAACTCACTGCCATCCCTGGTGGTGCAAATGAGCGGCACACCATCAGCCCGCCACTCCACACGACCATCGCACAGCGCTGCCACACACACGCTAACCACCACGAGCCATCGCTATGCACCGCACCACACTCTACTCAAACTCGTTGCCATCCTTTGTTGCGCGAATGAGCGGCACGCCATCCTCCCGCCACTCCACTTGACCATTGCATTGCACAACGCTGCCACCGCACACGCTAACCACGACGAGCCATTGCCACTCTACTCGAAGTCGTTGCCATCCTTGGATGTGCGGATGAGCGGCACCCCATCCTCCCGCCACTCCACCCGGCCGTCACACAGCGCTGCCACCACCCGCGCATACAGTTGGTGCTCCTGATAACACAGAAGGTGGGGGAGGGGGGGCGGGGGGGGTTCATACACATGGGGGAGGATGTGTGGGAGGAAGGGGAGCCTAGCCTGATGCTGCACAGCACTGCCACCCCCCACACATTCAGTTGGTGCTCCTGACAGCACAGAGGGGTTGGCGACACAAGAAGGGGGGAGGAAGTGTGGCGGCAAGGACATGTTGGAGGAACGGCAGGGCAGCCTGTGAGCAGACACGTGGGGTCATGCACATGGGGGGGGAGGGGTTGGGGGTGTGGCATCAAAGACATGAGGGGGGAGGGGTTGGGGGTGTGGGATCAAAGACATGAGGGGGGAGAAGGGCGCATTCTGAAATCTCATAGTGCTGCCAGCGTCACCACGCACGGATAATGCCGGTTCTCCTGAGAGCAGAGGAGATGGCCATTCGTGTGAGGGGGAGTGTGTGGAGTCACGCATGTGGAGGGAGGGAGCAAGAACACACGGGAGGAAAGGGGTCTCATGACAACCTGACGCTGCACAGTGCTGTCAGCACACACACACACAGCTGGTGCTGATGTGACTTTTGAGGCGCCTTTAGAGGGATGTGTGAAAAGGAACGAGTGGTGAGGAAGGAAGGCCTCATGCATCCTGCTGTGGCGCAAACAGCATTCCCCACCAGCAGCACACGCAGCCGGCTCTTTCGAGAGAGCAGTGAAGTACAGGACGGAGGGGCGCGGTTATGTCAACAGCAAGAGTGTGAAAATTGGCACCGGAAAGAATGCCGCGAGGGGAAGATGTTGAGCGATCTGGGGGGGAAACGAGAGCTGGATAGAGAGCATGATAGAGATGATAAGAGGGGGGAGGAAGCAGGTGCGAGCATTGAGGGAGTGAGTGGAGCCATTATCAGTGCAACGACCCACTGCTGCCTGTTGCTTCACGCCACTCAGGAAAAGCGTTCTCCCCATGAGTTTTCATTGTGGTTAGTTACTCCGTCATGTTCACACAACCCGCAGCACACGCAGAACAGCCACATTAGGTTCAGCAGGGAAGGTCCCCCCGCCCACCCACCCACGCACACACACGCTCCTGCAGGGCTGGGGGGTGGGGCGTGCAGGTGGTGGGAGCTCCATCCACGCACAGGCAGTACACAGACACCCACCCACGCACAGGCAGTACACAGACACCCACCCACGCACAGGCAGTACACAGACACCCACCCACGCACAGGCAGTACACAGACACCCACCCACGCACAGGCAGTACACAGACACCCACCCACGCACAGGCAGTACACAGACACCCACCCACGCACAGGCAGTACACAAACACCCACCCACGCACAGGCAGTACACAGACACCCACCCACGCACAGGCAGTACACAGACACCCACCCACGCACAGGCAGTACACAGACACCCACCCACGCACCGACCTGGGTGAGGACCCTCTCACTCACCCAACCACCCACCCACGCACACAGACACCCACCTGGGCGAGCACGCGCGCCTGCAGGGCGGGGGGGTCATCGGAGGGCAGCACGGGCACCACCGCCTGCGCTGCTATGGGGCCGTGGTCGTACCGCTCGTCCACAAAGTGCACCGTTGGGCCTGATACCCTGGCAGGGGGGTGGCGCGAGGGAGGAAAAATGAAGGAGAGTGGGTTGGTTGGAGTAGGAGGGAAGAGTGAGGGCAACACAGGCTCATCCACAAAGTGCACCGTGGGGCCTGATACCCTGTTATGGGGGGAAGGAGGGGGTTGGGGAAGGGGAGATGAGGTGAAGTGTTAACGAGAATCCCTTACCACCCACCAGGCGACGTGACCTGTACTGCAGCAACCCACATCACAGCACACACCAGAACATCCCAAGCACGGCACGGCAGCCCCATGCACGCACCTGGCGCCAGACGCAATGACAGCTTTGTGCACGTGCATGCCATAGTAGCCCTTGCCACCCGCCTGGCGATGTGACTTGCACCTATGTTCGGAAAGACGCAGCTAGGACGCTGCGTCCTGCGTCCGGACGCAGCGTCCGGACGCTAGGACGCAGGACGCGCGTCCAGACGCAGGACGCACGTCGAAATTTTTTTCGGGCAGCCCGAAAAAAAAATCGATTGCGATTTTGGCATTCGCGATTTCGACGCGAATGTCGAAATCACGAAATTTCCCCATCCCAAGCACAATTCGCCATTCAAAACCAGCCCCCCTAACATTCCCTAACAACTAAACCAAAATTGAATTTCACTCAAACCTCTCAACCACTTAGCATCTACGAATCCCAACCTTTGTAGCCCACCACCACCAAGCACATTTAGCATGGCAACCTTTTGTGGCTTCTCATTTTCCCCTCACCAATTCTCTTTCGTAAACCCATAGAGGTTTTAGGTCTTAGCTTAGCTTACCACCTAAACTCCGATATGGCTTCCTCGAGCATTCCTTCTTCTTCCACCGCATCTAAGAGTGTTGAAAATTTTGTGGTTGGGGAAATTTTGTGGTATGACACCCCCCCCCCCCCCCCCCCCCCCCTCTCCCAAGCCCTATACAATTTTTTTGGCCTGCCTGGGGGTTTTTTTTGCCCTGCCCGGGCTTGCGTCTTTTGGTGCGTCTTACAGGTCAAGGGTCAGCGTCCTGCGTCTGGACGCATGCGTCCAGGACGCAGGACGCGTCTTTCTGAACATAGACTTGCACTGCACTAACCCACAGCACACGCCAGAGCATCCACAACACATCAACCCCATGCACGCACCTGGCGCCAGAGGCGATGACTGCTTTGTGCACGCGCATGCCATAGTAGCCCTTGCCTCCGAACGCAGGCAGCAGCGCGGGGTGGATGTTGAGGATGGCTCGCGGGAATGCCTCCACCAGCGAGGCGGGCAGCAGCTTTAGATACCCTGCTAGCACCACGTAGTCCACCCCGTGCTGCCTGCGCAAACAGATGGGGGTGGAAGAAGTGCAGAACGGTTGAGTAAGGAACGACCCTACCAGTGAGGCGGGCAGCAGCTTCAGATACCCCGCTAGCACTATGTACTCCACTCCGTGCTGCCTGGGCGTGGGAGGAGTGTAAAAGGTGGGGGCCAGGGAGGCAAGAGAACGGGGTGAGCTGGGGGAGAAGGGCGGAGAGGCGGGCGGCAGCTTCAGATACCCTGCTAGCACTATGTAATTCATTCCGTGCTGCCTGGGCCGTGAGGGAGAGGGGAGAGAGTTGGTGGTGGGAGCGAGAGTGGGTAAGGGTGTGAAAGGACAATCGCCAGCGAGGCCGGCAGCAGCTTCAGGTACCCCGCTAGCACTATGTACTCCACTCTGTGCTGCCTGCACAAACAGATGGAGGTGGAAGGGGTGGGTAGAGGTAGAGTGAGAAACGCTCCCACCAGGGCAGCGGGGAGCAGCTTCAGATACCCCGCTAGGACCACCATGTACTCCACTCTGTGCTGCCTGGGAGTGGGAGGAGTGGAAAGGGTGCGGGCCAGGGAGGCAAGAGAACGGGGTGAGCTGGGGGAGAAGGGCGGAGAGGCGGGCGGCAGCTTTAGATACCCCGCTAGCACTATGCAGTCCACTGCGTGCTGCCTGGGTAAACAGATGGGATTGAAAGGGGTGGGTAGGGGTAGGGGTTGAGTGAGAACGCCTTTACCAGCGAGGCGGGCAGCAGCTTCAGGTGACCCCCAGCACCACGTAGTGCTGCTGCCTGGGCCGTGAAGTGAGTGGGGGATAGTGGGTTGGGGAGGGGAATGGGTGTGGCGGTGAGCAGCTGGGTGGTGGCAGCAGATTTATCAGGCAGCTGGGGGAGGGGCTGTGCGGCCACGAGTGCGAGAAAGCGAAACAGGGTTTGGCAATGGCAAGGCAAGCACGAGTCGAATCCCGTGCTGGTAGGAACGCAGAGACTGACCGCATGGCGGCGAGCAGCTCGTCAGGCGAGAGGCCGATTTGTTCGCTGGGCGGCAGCTTGGCGTTGACGGGGAAGGCGAGCGTGGGGATGCCGCTGGCGCGCGCGTACTGCCATCCCCCGCACTCTTCGCCCCCAGACAAGCACACAGCGACCTCCCCACGTCATCCGTGATGGCGGGGGTGAGGGGCGAGGGGCGAGGGGCGAGGGGAGGAGGAGAGGGGAGGGGAGGGTGGGAGGGAGGGAGGGAGGGTGGGAGGGAGGGAGGGTGGGAGGGAGGGAGAGAGCACATCGAGCGGAGTCAGGCAGTCAACGCAATCAGCATGGTTGATAAGGTAAGGTCAAGCAGGTATAAAGTCACATCGCGTGCTGTTCCACCAGCACTTGGGGAACCGAAAAGTTTCCTGTATAAACTCCCATCGAGGCTAACCATACGCGTTATGTGCTGACCTGGTTTATCGCTAACGACCACCACCACGTCGCCGATCACGCGTCCGTCAGCGCACGCCGCGTGGATCGCTTTGAAGTTCGAACCGCCGCCCGACACGAACACCGCCAGCCGCGCCCGCCGCCGATCTGACGGTTGAGCGGCGTCTGCGGCGGCGGCATCGCCGGGGGTGGCGCGCGCTGAGTCGGTTGAGGAAGCATCCGCCCGCGCGACGAGCCGCGCGGAAGCGAGTCTTCGCGGCTCGCACGACCGTTGCGCGACGGCTTGGAGTGATACGGATTGAGATCGAGAAGCGCCGAGTGGCGTGGATGACGGTAGGGCGCTCGTGGATATGCGCGCGTGTGAGAGGGCTGTGCAGTGGTGAGTAGTGGAAGCCTTGCCTGAAAGAAAATTGCGGCCTGATAGTCGAGAAGAGTCAAAATGCATGGTTGAAACGTGCGCAGCCATGGCTGACCAGATGGATAAAATGCGAATGGGGACTCGACCGATTGCGTTGTGCGCAAAATCAGCATTCATTAGATAAAAAGGCAGGGAATCTGGGGATAAGGAGCGTGGGTTGAGAATGGGAGCGAGGTAATTCGGGGTTCGCGAGATTGGTGCAGCAGTTGCGAAATTAATCTGCGAAACGAAGTGCTCTAGGTGATTGTTACGTGTGAACTAGAATCACACTACCGTCATACCCATATATAGGAGCTGCTGCTCTCATAACAAAGTCTTATAGCTGCTGATTTTATATGTAGCGTGCTCCGTGGCATCTTGTGCATGTTTTTTTGGGTTGCGAAGCAACCTATTACAATCGTTATGTACATTTTTTTTTCAATCCTCTATACTTAAAAAAATAGAGGATGGAAAAAATATAGTGAACGGTACTAGCTAAGTGACTGACTGCTATGTATTTGCCGCGTCAATTTACCACGTGCTGAACCACATTCCTTCTCATTTCCTAGTTTACTTTGACTGAACCTATATTTCATGAGTTGCCAAAATGATGTACTGTGAACACGTAACTGTTTATTCTGTGATGCATATGTCTGATGATGTTATGCGTAGATGAAGTAATGCAAATGCATAAGTATAATGCATATATTACCGGTAATGAAATAAATGCATAGCATGATGGAAATGCGTAACAGTAAATTGACGCAGACCCTATGCTACCGCATCCCCTGCCTAGCATGGGGGGGAGCTCAATAGCATAATTTCTTAATCATCCAACTGTTACATGAAACAACACAATTTGTGTGATATAAAAAACGGGTCAATTCTATCAAATCCAGCTCGAATGGACACACTCACTGAGTGCGCAAAGAACCTTCTCGGAAATGATAGTTTGATCCCAATTTTTAAAACCCACAGACATGTGTTGTTAATGCAGTGGAAACATGAATGAAAACGCATACACACACAACACAACACATACACATGATCATACACATTCACACATACACGCACGCACGAAGCCAACTGACAAAGCATATTAACCGCAGATGAAATAGAAACATAAATCACCAAGACATTATGTATCCTATACTGTAAGTCATAAGCAATATAAGTCTACTTCTCATATTGAGCTCGACTGCCTGGAAAGTAAGACAAAGTGTCAAATTATAATATTGTGTAGGCTACAGTGGGGTAGTCTATATGGGGTACACATTTCTAGGGTTGCATATTTGTATCACTCCATTCCTTAGTCAATCCATTCTCGTTCTACTTTCCTCATGGTATCGAGCAGGTTCCCCCTTGGGAACTGTGCCTAGGGCCCACCACATCGAGTTTCATTTTTTTTTTTCTCTCTCCTGCCCGAAGCGCGCTCCGCCCGAGTCGCGCTCCGGGCTCTCACCTCGCCGAGCCGCCCTAGCGGCCCCCCACGCCTTAGCGGCCCCTTCCCCTAGCGGCCCCGCCGCCCTTCGTTTCGGCCCCGCCGCCCTTTAGTGCGGCCCCGCCGCCCGTCACAGCGGCCCCGTCGCCCTGCATCGCGGCCCCGCCGCCTGTCTCCGCGGCCTCGCCGCCCGTCGCTGCGGCCCCGCCCCTACTCAGCGGCCCCGCCGCCCTTCTCCTCAGCGGCCCCGCCGCCCTGCTCAGCGGCCCCGCCGCCCTGCTCAGCGGCCCCGCCGCCCTACTCAGCGGCCCTGCCGCCCTTCTCCTCAGCGGCCCCGCCGCCCTACTCAGCGGCCCCGCCGCCCTGTCAGAACATTATAGCTTATGCTTTTGTGTAGGCTATAGTGGGGTAGCCCATATGGGGTACAACCCAATTAGGGTTAGTACTTGTACCCAACTGTTTCATAGTTCATTCATTCTCGTTCTCATTTTCTCATGGTATCGAGCAGGTTCCCCTGTGGGAACTGTGCCTAGGGCCCACCAAATTTCGAATTTTTTTTTCCTGCCCGAAGCGCGCTCCGCCCGAGTCGCGCTCTCACCTCGTCGAGCCGCCCTAGCGGCCCCTATGCCCTAGCGGCCCCGTCTCCCGTTCGTGCGGCCCCGCCACCTACTAGCGTGGCCCCGCCACCCGCATTCGCGGCCCCGCCGCCCTACGTCGCGACCCTGCCGCCCTAACTACGGCCTCGCCGCCCTACTCCTGCGGCCCCGCCGCCCTACTTCACGGCCCTGCCGCTCTACGTCGCGGCCCCGCCGCCCTGTTCAGCGGCCCCGCCGCCCCACTTCGCGGCCCCGCAGCCCCACTTCGCGGCCCCGCCACCCTGCTTCAGCGGCCCCGCCGTCCGTCTGCTGCGGCCCCGCCGCCCCACTTCGTGGCCCCGCCGCCCTTCTTCAGCGGCCCCGCCGCCCATCTGCTGCGGCCCCGCCGCCCTTCTTCAGCGGCCCCGCCGCCCATCTGCTGCGGCCCCACCGCCCCACTTCGCGGCCCCGCCGCCCCACTTCGCGGCCCCGCCGCCCTACTTCAACGAGCCCCGCCGCCCTACTTCAGCGGCCCCGCCGCCCTACGTCTGCGGCCCCGCCGCCCGTCTGCTGCGGCCCCACCGCCCTACACCTGCGGCCCCGCCGCCCTACTTCAAGGGCCCCGCCGCCCTACTTCAAGGGCCCCGCCGCCCTACTTCACCGGCCCCGCCGCCCTACGTCAACGGGTCCCGCCGCCCGTCTGCTGCAGCCCCGCCGCTCTCCCCTCCTGCAGCAACGCGCCCGAGCCGCAGACCACCGCGCCGCCCTGTACAAGAGGAGCCGAGCCGCCCTGCCGCCGAGCCGCCTGGCCGCCCACCAACCGAGCCGCCGTGCAGCCGAGCCGCCCAGCAGCCGAGCCGCCCCGCAGCCGAGCCGCCCCGCAGCCGAGCCGCTGAGCCGCCCAGCAGCCGCCCTGTCCGGTGAGCACAGCCTCTCTGTCACTGCGTGCCCTTCCCCTACTGCTTGCACTTCTAGTCTACCGTCGTCATGGCTACCCCTAGTGTCCTCGCTTTTGACGCTGAGGGTCGAGCCATTGACTTTGAGGTCTGGGTCGACGACCTGCAGCTGTTCTTACAGTGCGATAGGGCGGACGGTCTTTCTCTCTTTGACCTCACCTCTGGCGCCTCTCCTGCCCCTGCTGCTGATGCTGACCCCACTGTTCGCTCTCAGTGGGCCACCCGCGATGCTGCTGCACGTCTTGCTGTGCGTCGCCACCTGCCTACCACTGAGCGCGCGCAGTTTAGTCAGTACAAGAGTGCTTAGACCTTGTACGACGCTGTAGTTGCGCGCTACTCTTCACCTGCCACTGCTGCACTGAGCCGCCTCATGCTACCGTACCTCTTCCCTGACCTTGCTGCATTTCCCACAGTTGCTGACCTCATTACGCACCTCCGCACTAGTGACACTCGCTACCGCGCCGCGCTTCCTGCTGAGTTCTGCGCCAAGAACCCCCCCCCCCCCCCCCATGTACATCACTCTCTATTACATAGTCACCCGCCTCCCTGACTCCCTTCGCGTAGTCAGGGACCACTTTCTCTCAGTCTGTCCAACCACTCTCACTGTTGACCTCCTAGAGAAGGCCCTCCTAGCAGCGGAGAAGAGTATAGTTGCTGTAGGAGCCTCTCGTGGTGACCCTCGCACCCCCATCTTTGAGGGGTGTTCCCCTTTACCCCTGTTGCCCTCTGTTGCCTCTGCTGCTGTGGCCGACCTACTTGGTCTTGAGTCGGTCGGTGCGGCGTCTACCCCTAGCGGGAGACGCCGCTCTGGCAAGGGCAAGGGGGGCAAGGGCGCGGGTGGAGCTAGCGGGGGTGGTGGAGGTGGCGGTGGAGGCGGCGGAGGGAGTGGGGGTGGCGGTGGGAGTGGTGGCGGGGGTGGAGGTGGCGGTGGCAGCGGCGGAGGCGGAGGAGGCGGTGGCGGTAGCGGTGGGAGCGGAGGCGGCGGTGGCGGCGGAGGTGGAGGCGGCGGTGGTGGAGGAGGTGGAGCTGGTCGAGGTGGTACTTCTTAGCGGAGCGGCTCCGGGAGTGGTCAGCGCCAGCAGCAGCAGCAGCAGCGTTCTCGGGACATCCCCCCTCCTCAGCAGCTCCGTGAGTGGTACACGCAGCGTCAGCGTGGTGGGGGTTTTGGCCCGTGCACCTACGTCCTCCGCTCTGGCGACCGCACGGGTGAGCAGTGTGGGGGTGCTCACCCCACCCAGCGCTGCTTTGGCCGCCTGACGAACGCTTGGCGTCAGCAGTTCCCGTAGGCTAGTGAGATCCCCCGCTGGGGAGAGCTGTCTAGGGCAGGCGTAGCTATCTTTGATCTTGACTTTGATGCTATCCTTGCTGCCATGTATGCTGTGACTATTAGTGATGAGGGTGACTATTACCGGTGTTTTCCGCCCGACCCGGGCATTGGTACTGCTGCTCTAGGTACTGGTGAGGCTGCTGCTCTAGGTGCTAGTGCATCCGCGCCCTCAGGTGCTGGTGAGTCTGCGCTCTCAGGTACCACGTCGGCTTCGGCCTCCCTCACCTTCACACTTGACTCAGGGGCTTCTCGCTCCTTCTTTCAAGACCGCACCACACTCACGCCGCTTGGTCGG